TATTTTGTCATTTTGAGACAGGGTCTCCCCGTAGCCCCAGCTATAGGGGAAGGGGGACTCAAATTGAGCCACTCCCTGCCCCCCTTGAGACAGGATTTCATGTAGCTTAAGTTGGCCTTGAACTCACAGTATAGCCAAGGATGACCTTAAACAGCTGATCTTCCTGCTTCCAACTCCCAAGTGCTGGAGTTACAGGCATGGGCCACCATGTCCTGTTTGTGCAATATTGGGGATTGAACCCAGGGCTTTGTACATGCTAGGTAGGCACTCTGCCAACTGAGCCAAATCTCAAGTGAGCCACTCTTTTTTTTTTTTTACAGTTAGAATATTTTGAGAAATTATCCATTTCAATGAAGTATTCAGATTTTAGTCCATAAATGTATTCATTAAACGTTGTACTGCCTTTTATAAGGCATCCAAGAGTCATTCCTTTTAGGAGTTTGTTCTGTTTTGCCTCCCGAGTGCTGGGACTAAAGGTGTGCACCACCACTCCAGGCTACCCTTTTAGGAGTTTTACATTCATTATTTATATGTGTCTGTGTGATAGCATGCACACAGGTGTGTCGGGGTACATAAGGAGGCCCAGAAGACGGATCTTCTAGAGCTGAAGTTACAGGTATCTATGAGCTGCCCAGTATGGATGCTGGGACCTAAACTTGGGTCCTCTGAAAGAACAGCAAGCATTCTTTTTTAAATTTTTATTTATTTATTATTTATTTTTGTCTTTTTGAGACAGGGTCTCCTTGTAGTCCCAGCTGTCCTATAACTCACTATGTAGACCAGGCTGGCCTTGAACTCACAAAGATCAGCCTGCTTCTGCCTCCCAAGTGCTGGGATTAAAGGTGTGTGCTACCACACCCAGCTAACATTCTTTTTTTAAAAAAAATAATTTATTGAGAATTTCATACACACATACAAGCATATAAGGTGTTTTGATCAAATCCATGCCCACTCCCTCCCCTCTCCCCTCTAACTTCTCCCATATCTCCCCATCGCTATTTTCTGATAACTTCATGTACTCTTCTCTTTTTTTTAATTGGGCTTTTTGCTACTCTAACATTCTCTCCTCCGAAGAGATAACCCTAAAATATTTTAAGGATTAGATAAGAGCTCCCAAATACTTTTGACATTCTTGGCCTTTGGAATGGAGTATGTTGCTAAGAAGCCCAAGAACATTTTGACTTTTAGCCAAGAAACTGGCTACTTTTCTTTGGGGTCTTTTTACCCTAACTGCCTAGCCAATTCCTGCCTCCTATTCTTATTACAGCATCCTCTGAATAGCAAGCATTCTTAACTACTAGCCACCCTGATTCAAACTGATTTTTGTGCTCAATCTGTTGAGTGGCTTGTCCACTTTACTGGTCTCAAAGAATCACTTTTTTTTTCATTTGGGTGATTGTTTTCATTTTTCTTTATTTCATTCAAATTTGTATCTTTTATCCTTTATTTTTTAAAAATATTTATTTATTATTTTTATGTGTATGAGTATATTGCCTGCATGTAGGCAAGTGCACCCATCTTGTGCAGTGCCTGCGGAGGTCAGAAGAGGCTGTCGGATCCCCTGATACTGGAGTTATGGACAGTTGTTAGCTGCCATGTGGGTGCTGGGATTCAAACCTGGGTCTTCTGCAAGAACAACCAGTGTTCTTAACCACTGAGCCATCTCTCCAGCCCCTTATCCTTCATTTTTAAATTTTTTTCTTTTAATTTTATGTGTATGAGTGCTATACCTGCATGTAAGTGCACCTGTACCGTGCAATGCCTGTGGAAGTCAGAAGAGGGTGTTGGATCACATGGAACTGGAGTTACAGACAGTTGTTAGCTGCCATGTGGGTGCTGGGATTCAAACTCAAGTCCTTTGCAAGAGCTGCCAGTGCAACCACTGGGCCATCTCTCCAGTCCCTCTTTTTCTTTTTTGGCATGAGCCTTTCCAACTGGCAAGTCAGTGGACTTGGGCTGGAAACCGGGTGACATAACATATAGGGCAAAGGAAGTAGAAGGTGAGGATATCAGGGATCTGTTGACGTGTAGTCAGACTTCATATCTTTCCACAGAACTCATGTTCAGAAAATAGTAGTGTTAGTGTAATCTAAAGGAAGAGCTTTCAGCCTCTTGGCATCAAAAGGCAACACATGAAACACTTGCATGGGCTCAAGAGAGGAGACCATAGTTTCAGCCAAAGTGACCTCTAAGTCCTGGAAGGTAACCTAGACAACCATTATCACCCTGACCACGCCTCAGCAGCAGCATCCAAAACAAAACTGGTGGGACACTAATGAAATATTGCTCACTGCATTCATGCCTTTCTTCTTTTTTGGGGGGGGCGGTCTTTTTGAGACAGGGTCTCCCTGTAGCCCCAGCTAGACTGGAACTCACAATGTAGACCAGGCTGGACTTGAACTCACAGAGATCTGTATGTCTCTGCCACTGGAATGCTGGGATTAAAGGCCTGCGCCACCATGTCTGGCCTTTTATCTTATTTTTAAATCTTAAGTATGGTTATGGTTTTGTGCATGTGAGTGCAATGCCTGTGGAGGCCAGAAGAGGGTGTTGGATCCCCTGGAACTGGAATTATAGGCAGTTGTAAACTGCCAAATGTAGATGTTGGGAACTGAACTCACGTCCTTTGGAAGAGCAGCAAGTGCTCTTAACCACTGAGCCATTTCTCCAGTTCCAGAATTTGGTTTAATTTTTTTTTAAGATAAGGTCTCATGGGGCTGGTGAGATGGCTCAGCAGTTAGGAGCACTGGCTGTTCTTGCAGACGACTGGGGTTTAAATCCCAGCATCCATATGGTGGCTAACAACCGTCCTTAACTCCAGTTCCAGGCGATCTGATACCCTCTTCTGTCATCTGCAGGCATTGCATGACACGGGTGCACATACACACATGCAGGCAATACACTCATACACATAATAAAATAAATGAATGGGCTGGGTGTGGTGGCACATGCCTTTAATCCCAGCACTTGGGAGGCAGAGGCAGGCAGATCTTTATGAATTCGAGGCCAGCCTGGTCTATGTAGTGGGTTCCAGGACAGCTGGGGCTACAGGGAGACCCTGTCTCAAAAAGACCAAAAAAAAAAAAAAAAAGAGAGAATGAATGAATGAATGAATGAATGAAGGTAAGGTTTTATGTGCCACTATGACCAACGCTAATTTTGAGATAGAGTTGGTTTTTTTTTTTTTTTATGTTTCTGGAATGTTCTGGAACTAGTGGGCTCAAGTTATCCTCTCAACTCAGCTTTTTTTTAAAAAAAAATTTATTATTTTTATTTTATGTGTATGCGTGTATTGCCAGCATTTAGGCAAGTGCACCTGTGTTGTACAGTGGCTGAGGAGGACAGAAAAGACTGTCGGATCCTCTGGAACTGGTTACAGTTGTTAGCTGCCATGTGGGTGCTGGGATTCAAAACCGGGTCTTCTGCAAAAAACAGTGTTCTTAACTGCTGAGCCATCTCTCCAGCCCCAGCCTTCTTTTATTTTTAAAGACTTTTAATTGTATGTATTTGTGTGGGTATATGCACTGGTGTGTGCAGAAGCGAAAAGAGGGTGTCAAATTCCTCAGTACTGGAGTTACAGGTGTTTTCAGGACACTCAGCTTGCTATGTAGTTCCTGGGAGCCACACACAGACACACAAGAACATGCAAATAAATAAAAATAAATCTGGCACGATGTGGGTGCTGCAACAGAGTCCAGGTCCTCCACAAGGGCGGGAAGTGCTTTCAACTGCTGAGCCATTTTTCCAACCTCTGGTAAACTCTCTTTCAAAATAACTACTTAATTTTATTATTTGCGTGTGTGTGCACGCACTCACCATGGGTCTGTGTGTGGAGGTCAGAGATCAATGTAAGGTGTCCTCCCCTATCTCTCCCCCTTGTTTTTGAGACAGGGTTTCATAATGAATCTGGAGCTCTCTGATTCAGCTGAACTGGCTGAATCTGCTGCTGAAACTGCTCCTGCAATTCTGGCGTTACAGGCATGCCCTGACTTTCATGTGAGTGTAGGAGATCGAACTCAGGTCCTCATGCTTTACCCACTGAGCCATCTCTCCAGCCTGATAATTATGCTAATCCATGAGTGTGGGAGGCCTTTCTGTCTTCTAGTGTCTTGCTTGGTAAACTCTTCACCTGGATGATCAGTAACCAGCCTGGAGGCGGTATCATGTAGGTTAATACATGAAGATAACCCAGGATGGAGTGGCAAATAGACAATTATCTGTGTGTCTCTCCACAACTTCCAGACTCTAAACCCAGGAAGCCAGAGACTTTGACTTAATTTTCTCCATCTTTGTTTATTTTGTTGGTTGGTTTTGTTTTGATTTGTTTGCTTTTTTGGTTTTGTTTTGTTGTCTTTTTTTGTTTGTTTGTTTTTGTTTTGTTTTTGAGATAGGGTCTCCCCGTAGCCCCAGGTGGCCTGGAACTCACTATGGAGACCAGGCTGGCCTGGAACTCATGGAGATCTGCCTGCCCATCTTCCAAGGGCTAGGATTAAAAGCATGTGCCACCATGGCTCGTTTTGGATGTTTTGAGACAGGGATTCACTATGCAGCCTGGGCTGACCTAGACCTTGTTATATAGACCAGGCTGACCTCAAACTTGTGGCAGCTGTGCCTCAGTCATTCACTTGAATGCTGGGATTGCACCATACCTGACTCAAGTTTTGAGCTTCTGTATGACCTTGCTCCTCATTTTGCTTGGCATACATAACAGATCGCCCAGAAAACTACGGAAGGGGACGGGTGTGGTGACCCACACTTTGTCAACACCAGAGAGGCTGAGGAGGAATGGATTACCATGAGTTCGAGACCAGCCTGGGCTGAATGGTAAGTTCCAGGCTAGAGATCCTATCTAAGATCCGGTCTCAAAAATCCCAAAACAACAACAAAAAAGAACCCTACTGAATGGATAATTGTCCTGAAGAAATAGAGAGACGGGGGTGGAGCCAATTGTGGACCCGCGCTGCTCTCCCGAGGCTCCGCCCAGGATCTGGACCGCGCCCACCCGGCGGCCTGGAGTCACGTGGGGCCCAGCTGGGCGGCCTCTGGGGAAGTTGGGCCAAGATGGCGACAGTGAGAAAGGCACTCCCGCGGCGGCTGGTGGGCTTGGCGTCTCTCCGCTGCGTAAGTGGCCGGAGCGGTGCCGGTCGGGGCCGGGGTCGGGGCCGGGGCCGCAGCGGCTGCTCTGTGCCGGGCGACCCTGGAGGCTCTCCGCCCTTCCGGCTCAGATTCTCTGCGTGAGGTGGGGAAACTGAGGCCGGGGTTGACAGCCGCCCGCTGTCACCGTGGAGGCCTGAGAACGCCATCCTGCCCTCTTCCCGCCCCAGTCCTTGTTCTGGATGGCGCGGGCCAGGCAGGGAGACCCTCGGAACTGCACTTTGGGCCTCTTCGGTCCCGGGGTTCTGTATTCTCCCACGCTCGGTGCACCGAGGAAAGGAAGGAGCAGGAGCGCCAGGTGCGGGAGGTGCAGTGGATTGTGTTCAGTCTCCATCTGTGCGGTTCCCATGACCCTGCCACTCTCTAGGCTGAGTGACAGTGGTTTACTCTGCCTAAGCCTCAGCTTGTACATCGTTAATATGGATAACGTTTCCTCAGAGTGCGGTTTGCTGATTGAAAAAATGAAGTAAAGTGTTTTGGTATTGTTATGACTCTTTTTTGTTTGTTTGGTTGTTTTGTGAGACAGGTAGTTGCACCCCAGGCTGGTCAGGAACTCTGTATCCTCCGGTCTCTGCTTTCCCAATGCTGGGACTACAGGTGTGTATCACCAGGCCCAGCTTGTTCTGGCTTTCTGGGGTTTTTTGGTTTTGTTTTTATTGAAATAGGGTCGCTCTGTAGCCCCAGCTGGCCTAGAGCGCACAGTGTAGACCAGGTTGGCCTCAGTCTCATAGAGATATGCTTGTCCCTGTCTCTGCCTTCTGAGTGCTGGGAATTAAAGGGGTGCACCATGCACACATCTGGGTGTTCTGACTCTTAATAAGTGGTCTTACCAGTGGTGGTACACTGTTGTTGTTGGCTGTCCTGGGGATCAGCTCCTGGCCTCACTGCTCTACCATGGAACTACACCCTCAGGTCAGTGGTGGTATTTTAACTTAGAGAGTTTAGGAGTTTTGTCAGTAGTTGGAAAAACTACATACTCCTGGCAGCAAGTAGATCCCTCTCAGAAACCACTAAACCACTTTAGCCCATCCATTATTCAGGGATCAAATGAAGATGGTAACTCTGACTTAAGGAAATTAACTGAGACACTGGCTAATAATTTTTTAAAACCTGGTGCAATCTTCTATGAGTTTATTGCCACAAGCCTATAAACTATGCAGTTTTGAGGGGGGTCTTTTTAAGGGTCTCCTGTAGCCCCAGCTAGCCTGCAACTCACTATGTAGACCAGGCTAGCCTTGAACTCACAGAGATCCACCTGCCTCTGCCTCCTGAGTGCTGGGATTAAAGGCGTGCACACCATGCCTGGCTTTTTTACTTGTTTTTTAAAAAATTATTTTATGTGTACGAGTGCTTTGTCTGCATGTGTGTAAGTGCACCCATGTCATGCAATGCCCAAGAAGACCAGAAAAGGGTTTCAGATCCCCTGCAACTGGAGTTATGGATGGTTGTTAGCTGCCATGTGGGTGCTGGGATTCAAACCTAGGTCTTCTGTGAGAACAGCCAGTGCTCTTAACTGCTGAGCCATCTCTCCAGCCCCCAGGTGTCCCTTCTGTGAGTCTCAAAGCTGCATCATGGGAGGACACTGATTATCTGTTATGGGGAAGGAAGTGGAATTACGTTTAACTTGTGCTGTAAAAGAAAGTTGGAGGCAGTTTTTGCATTAGCCTTTACTTACTGATCCTCTATTATGTTCCAGAGACTTGGAAAGACAGTAGTGAATAAAACAAAGTTCCTGGCACTGGAATATTTTAGGGTAATATCTCAGCAGAAGTTGCAGGGACCTTGCAACTTAGCCTGTTGACTTCTTGCAATTTAGTGGCTTGACACTTTATAAGAAACTTTGCTGGCTAAAATCGAGGCCATTTCAGTGAGTTGTCAAGTTCCAGCTGATCCAGAGCAGGGAATATTTCCTTCCCTAAGAGCTTCAAGGGTTTGAGAGCTTTGGCAGGTTATAAAGTGTGTCTTTCCCTTTGCCCCATTGCAGTATATTTATCTAGATTGAATCTGGCCAAAAATTAAGCTAATTTGAAGTGTCAGAAAGAAGAAGGGCAGGGTGTAGTTTAGAGGGATTACCTGGTATTACACAGGCTCTGGGTTCAATTTCCCAGCACTGACAGGGAGGGGGGGGGAGTGTTAGGGAGTCCAGGCACTGAACACACCTGCAGTTCCAGCACTTGGGATCATAGAGGTAGAAGAATCAGGAGTTTAAGGTCATCCTCAGCTTCACTGTGAGTTCAAAAACCAGCCTAGGCTATATGAGGCCAAGTCTCAAAACAGTAGAAAGGGGGAGAAGGGAAAGATGCTCCATGTGACTTGTGGGGAATGAGGGCAAGATTTGAGGCAGACTTGGCTAAAGTAGACTGAAGACTTTAAACATTTTTTAGTGTTTTCTTCAGCTGCTGAGGTGTCATCTCCAGACCCATCCCTCCCCTTGTCATCCATCAGCCTAGACTTAGGCTTAAGATAAGCCTTAACATACAAAGCCTTTCTACATGTCCTCCACCTCTACCAAACCCAGAACTCACTGCTCCCCACGCTACGATCTCCCTCCTTGGATAGCTATGCTCTTTGTGTCCCTATAACTTTATTGAGTGCCTGCATGGTTCCAGGCACAGTGCCAGTCAGGGCGAAGTGGAAAGAAATAAGGTCTCTCTTGTTTCTTATGTTCTGGATGAAGCAAACACACCTGTTTGCAAAGCTCTGAAGGAAATCGTTGTAGTCGTGAAATGGATAATAGAGGTGATGGAGTGGCAGCTTTTCAAAGGTTCCTTGGAGGATATCTCTGTGCTTGATTGAGGGATGCAAGAAAAGTTGAGCCTTCCTAGCAGACAACAGCCCTACTGGCCTGGAGCTTAGTGACCTGTCAGGCAAAGGGGGAAAAGGAATGGAACAGGGCTGAGCAATGAGGTCAGCCAGAGCCAAACCCTGCAGAGCCTTGAAGCGAGGATGAATAGGGGAGTGGGATGAGTCTGATCCCAGTTGAGCAGCTGCTCACGTGCGATGCCTCTTACAGAGACAGCAAGGATGGAGTTGGAGCATTAGGAGAAATTCTAGAGTTGGGGGACTGAGGTTATGGACTTGCCAGATGGGCAGCTGGAAGTGGGTCTAGACCACAGACCTGTCCCAAAGTGTGACTTTCTTGCTCATTCCTGCCCAAAGCACAATTTGCTTTTTGGTCTTAATTTCAAAAGAAACCACAGGTGAATTAAACGGGGAAGGAGCACTGCTTCCTGTCTCGGTATTAGCGAAGAAAGGCTTGTTTTCCCCGCAGTCCCATGGTAAGTCCTGACACTCTCTCCCCTTCCCTGTGTTTTCTCTTTTTAAACCAAAGGTTAACACTTCAGCCATGGGCACATTCCCAAAGTGGGTGAAGATCGTGGAAGTTGGTCCCCGGGATGGTCTGCAGAATGAAAAGGTAAAAATGGGGAAGTCAGCCCCTCAAAGATGATTCAAGTGTCTGCTTTGAGTGTTCTAGGAAAGTTGGGTCAGATACTTAGAAAAATTTTTTCGGAGACAGGGTCTCCCTGTAGTCTCTGCTGGCCTGGAACTTGTGTAGACAGGCTGGCCTCAATCTCACAGAGATCTGCCTGCTTCTGCCTCCCAAGTGCTGAGAGTAGAGGCGTGCACCGCCGCCCAGTTTACGAAGTTTTGATAAATTTGAATGTTATGGAACTGTTGACAGGAGACTAAAATAGTACATACAATTTTATATCTTTGAGTAAGAAAGAAACAACAACAAAGAAAAGGTAAATGTGGAAACATTTTCTTAGAAAAGAACATAAAAATTTCTGTGAAAATGGAAATATTTTCTAAACCTGAATATTCAACCACACAAGTGTCTAGCCTGTACCCCACTGGCATTCATGTGGCCAAGGATGGCTCTGAATGTGGCTCAACACAAAATCATAAAACAGGAATTTTTTTTTTCTTTTTGGTCTTTTTGAGACAGGGTCTCCCTGTACCCATAGCTGACCTGGAACTGCCTATGTAGACCAGGCTGGCCTCGATCCCAGAGATCCGCCAGCCTCTGCCTCCTGAGTGCTGGGATTAGACATGTGCACCACCACTCCTTGTATGAAAACTTTTTTTGGATAGAGTTCATGGCTCTTGAGCTTTGTAAATGAAACAGCCTTCAATGTGTCCAAGAGTTAGACACACCACTTGTGACTTTTGAACACTTGGACTGTGGCCTGTGAGCCATAGCTGAGTTTTTATTTGTATATAATTTAATTTGGTTGAATAACCACAGATGGCTAGTGGCGAGCATGCTAGATGCGCAGATGTGGAACAGCACTAGTGTGTTATTGGTGCCCTCTCTGGGAGGGTTGAATAGTGGTTTCGTTTTGAGCATGTTTCTCTAAAGTAATCATGCACTGGTTATTTTTTTCCATTAAGAAAAGCTTTTTCTGAGGATGGGCGTGGTGGCGCACGCCTTTAATCCCAGCACTTGGGAGGCAGAGGCAGGTGGATCTTTGTGAGTTCCAGGCCAGCCTGGTCTACATAGTGAGTTCCAGGACAGCTGGGGAGATCCTGTCTCAAAAAGACAAAAAAAAAAAGCTTTTTCTGGGGGTTAGAGAGATGGTGCCACAGTTAAGAGGACTTGGCTGTTCTTGCAGAGGGCTTGGGATCAGTTCCCAGCATGGCAGCTAATAACTATCTGTAACTCCAGTTCCAGGGAAATCCAACACCCTCTTCTGACCTCTGAGGGCATTGCATACAACATGGGTGCACTTACATACAGGCAGTCAATACTCTCATACATATAAAATAAAAACTATATGTAATTTTAATGATACATAAAATATATATATAGCCTTTTTTTGAGACAGGGTCTCCCTATAGCCCCAGCTGTCCTGGAACTCACTAGGTAGACCAGGCTGGCCTTGAACTCACAGATATCCGCCTGCCTCTGCCTCCTAAGTGCTGGGATTATAAACATGTGCCACCACACCTTGCAAAAATAATAAATATACTTTTAAAAAAAAAGAAAAGAGCCAGGCTTGGTGGCTCACGCCTGTAGTCTCAGTACTTGGGAGGCAGAGGCAGGCAGATCTCTGTGAGTTCAAGGACAGCCTGGTCTACATAGTGAGTTCCAGGACAGCTAGGGCTATAGGGAGACCCTGCTTCAAAAAGACAAAGACATATTTTGATATATCACAGTGAAAGATTTATCGTCCTCTTTTTTTTTTTTTTTTTTTTTTTTTTTTTAAAAAAAAAAAAAAAAAAAAAAAAAAAAAAAAAAAAAAAAAAAAAAAAAGTTGGTTTTTTTTTTTTTTTTTTTTGGTTTTTTTTTTTGTCCTTTTTTCAGAAGTTAGTCCAACCTAGCTTTAATAGTGAGGGCTTGTTAGAGACAGTAGTCTGGAAGACAGGTCATCCATAAGGACAGACTTGAGCCTGTTACTGCTGCATCCTGGCACCTGACTTAACACCTGAAGCAGGGGCAGCTCTCCAATTGAATTAACTTAGAGCAGTGAGGGAGAACCAGAGAGGGTGGGCGGGACAGACTGCCTGGTGGAAAGGGCCTGGGAGTGTCAGGATTTGTGAGCTACTCCTACAGATGCTAAGGAAAGTGAGGCAGTGGAGCCTGCAGTTTAGAACTCCAGTCCCAGATGAATTGGCAGAGTGAGACCGTGCCATAATGTGCCTGGCATTGATAATAGATGTGGAAAGAGGAAGCCATAGACTGGTGAGTGACAAGAGGTAGGGGAGGGAACAAAAGGAGCCACAGGCTGAGGTCTGAGGGGACGGAAGAAGGGAGGGGTGAGGTTTGGAAGTCCACCCCACAGAACCCAGAGAAAGGTGGTCAGTCATCTCTGCCCTCTGGCACACTGTTCTCAGTTTGTTTATGATGGGGTCGTGAACAAACACATTTGGTTAAGGGAAAGTTTGTGACTACCCTCTCCTGGGAGCAGCCGTCTCAGCCAGAAGACTGTAGAACTTGGAGGATGGCATTTGGGTTCATGTTGGTGCCCAGAAGTCAAGATGATGAGGAGCTGCAGAGCAGAAGCTTTAGGCCGAGGTGCTGACTGCAGGCCCAGGCTGTTGTTCAGTCCCAATGTTGCTGACCGGTCCTTTCTGGGTTTCCTTCCACTGTAGAATATTGTATCTACTCCAGTGAAAATCAAGCTGATAGACATGCTTTCGGAAGCTGGACTCCCTGTTATTGAAGCCACCAGCTTTGTCTCTCCCAAGTGGGTCCCCCAGGTGAGCTCAGCTCTGGGGGAAGCCTCTCCCAGGTGGGAAGTGGGAGGCCGCCCATGTCTCTTGAAGCCACTGCAAAATGGAAACATAGATTTCCGGGTCCCTGGCTTGAAGGGTCTTGGGTGATTTCCAGCACTGTGTAGGATCAGAAGGGAGTTGGGGGCTCTGCATCAGTCTTGGCTCTGCCCTGACTTGCTGGTGACTTTGCCCTCTCAGGTTAGAGGTGGCCTCTGAGGTCTCCCCTAGCTCCAAAAGTGTAGCATCTCTACACCTGTCTGCAGCATCTGTGTTTGTAAAGGGGAGAGCAGGGACTGCCGCTTCACAGAGGTGTGTAGCTGCAGAAGGAAGATCCCAGAGTGAGTCCTAGGTACTGCAGAGGGGATGACAACCCAGGCCTGGCCCAGAGAAGGTTCTTGGTGAATGCTACTGCCCATGTGGCTGTGGGTACCATAGAGCTGGAGTGCTGGCTACAGGAGGAACTGCCAAGGTCACCCAGTCCCAGAGACCTCCTGGCCCTCAGTGGTCAGACAACCAAGAACAGCACTGTGGACACACTCAGCCCTGCAAGAACTTGTTGTCAGGGTCTGGAGAGCAAAGACGCAGTGATGAGAAGGCTTTCTCTGCCACTGAGCTCTTGGCCTCTTTGGCTCCTAGATGGCTGACCATACTGAAGTCTTGAAAGGCATCCAGAAGTTTCCTGGGATCAACTATCCAGTCCTGACTCCAAATGTGAAAGGCTTCAAGGAAGCGGTAAGAAGAACATTTGGTGGGGTTCCTAGAATCAGTCCGTGTCTTGTGTACAGTCCTTTCCTGGGATGTCCCTCTGAACAACTTGTCTGGTGAGCAGCATCAGACCCCGTCAGAGCCGTCCTGGTGCTGACAAGTTGCTTAATGTCTCTGAGCCTTGGTTGAGAGCCTCGGTTCTGCTGATCAGCTAGGACTGGTAGTGGTCCAGTTAAGAGGATTGCAGGTAGGATGCACAGGGATGCTCTGCCTTACTAAGAACGTTCCCTCCTGATAGCACCCATTTTAGGGAAAGGTAACAATGTGAGCAGCTGACAATGGGTGCTGACACCTCCCAGCTTTCCTGTAATTTCAGACATCATTGGAGATGTTGGTTGTGCATTTTGAGGGTGACAGCACTGAGGTTGGCAGTGGTAGTGGTGGTTTCTTTGGGGAATGTCAGATTTGATGGTTTTTTTGGTACCCCCCCCAGCCCCAGGTGCTAGGGCTCAAATCCAGGGCCTCACACTTACTAGGCAAATGGTCTACCAGTGAACTACATTCTCAGCTTTGTTCTTTAATTTAAATAAATCACTCTAAACATTTCCTAGGGCCCACTGTGAAAAGGTACTACAAACTGAGTGGCTTAAATAACAGAAATGAATTTAGTCTCTCACATCCTGGAGGTCAGAAGTCTAGAGGAGCCATCTTCCTTTTTCTTTTTGTAATATTTTATTTATTTTTTATTTTATGTGTATGAGTGTATTGCCTGCATGTATGTAAGAGCACCCATGTCATGCAGTGCCCGTGGAGGACAGAAGAGGCCATTGGATCCCCTGGAACTGGAGTTACAGACAGTTGTGGGTGCTGGGATTCGAACCTGGGCCTTCTGCAAGACTCCAGTGTTCTTAACCACTGAGCTATCTCGCCAGCCCACAGCCATCTTCTTTAAGAACAGCAATTCTGGCTCAGGGGCCCACCCTGCTCCAGGGTGACCTCATCTTGTCTATTTACATTTGCAGTAACTCTATTTCCAAGTAAGGCCGCATTCTGAGGAACTAGGGTCTAGGATTTCAGCATGTTTCACTTATTAGTGCATGTATTTATTTGTGTGTGTATATGGGTATGTATGTGCTCATGCACGCAATGCCATGTATGTGTAGTTCCAGCTGGCCTGGAACTATGTAGACCAGGCTGGCCTTGAACTCACAGATTCGTCTGCCTCCCAAGTGCTGGGATTAAAGCTGTGCATCACCACACCTAGCCTAACACATTTTTTTAAATTAAAATATTTTTATTTTAATGTGTATGAATGTATTTCCTGCATGTATGTAAGTGCAACTGTGTCGTGTAATCACATGCCTTCAGAGGACAGAAGAGGGTGTTGGATCCCCTGGAACTGGAGTTACAGATGGTTGTTAGCCGCCATGTGGGTGCTAGAATGCAAACCTGGGTCTTCTGCAAGAGCAACCAGTGCTCTTAACCACTGAGCTATCTCACTGGCCCCTCAACATATTTTCTTAAGGGACATAATTCAACCTATAACAATCTCATGCCATAAAGTTTGCCATAAGATAAGATTTTGCCACTCTGCCTGTGTTCCTTGAAGAGCTGAGTACTGAAGGCGTCCATCTGGGTATCGGCAGGTAGCTGCTGGAGCTAAGGAAGTGAGCATCTTCGGAGCTGCCTCAGAGCTCTTCACCAAGAAGAACGTGAACTGTTCCATAGAGGAGAGTTTCCAGCGCTTTGATGGAGTCATGAAGGCTGCACAGACCGCCAGCATTCCTGTTCGGGGGTGAGTCAGGCCACACAGGTCCACTTTCTCACTACCATTCTAGAATGGGGCCTGACTACCTCCCACTGCCCTCTCCACTTCAGACTCCTTACTGGATGGCGGCAGCTCAAGCTTCATACCTGGGTACATTTCCTTAAGTAAATGTAGTCAGGGGTGTTCTTACTTAGCAAGTCTTTCTCTTCTCAGACCTAAATTTGGGTCAGTCCTCATGAGGTATGTGGTGGGACGGGACTTTGAGTGGGATAAGTGAAGGTCAATTTAGCCCTGGCTCCTCCGCCAGCTCTTCTCACATCTCTGCAGAGTCCCCAAAGTCTGGACACATCCCAGGTGACATTTCTAATAGCAGGACTTTCAGGTGTTGTGCATGTGTCACATGTATTTGAAACCTTACAACTACAAGCAAGAAGGGGCCATCCCCACCTTACAGGTGAAAATAGGAGGCTCAGGATGAGTAGACCACTGTCAGGTCGTCCAGCAGTCCAGATGGCAGCCAGAGTGATCATCCAAGCGTACTCAACTGGCCACTCCCTAACTGAAAACCTTCAGTGGTGGCCAAGTTCAGGCTTTGATTTTTGCAGTGCTAGGGATGGAGCCCCGGACCTTGCACATGCTAGGCAAGCACTCTACCACTGAGCCACACCCCGGCCAGTTTCAGGCTCTGTAACATGGGTCCCAGGAACCCTGTGTGCTCTGTCCTACTCTAGCCCTCTCTAGTCTGCACAAGGCGTTCCAGCCCACTTGGGGCTTCTCTCATCGGCCATATGCCCCCTCCTCTGGCCTCTAGTCCTACACTCCATATTCAGAGCATATCCTCTTCATCAAGCATGTCCCGGTCAGCTACCCCCCTCCTGCTCTGTGGTTCATAGTCTCCTGATGTCCAGAAACATAACACTTAGCTGCTTAACTCCTCATGCCCTCACACTAGGCTGTGCTCTCTGTCAGGGCAGGCCCACATCCCACAGTCACTGGGTGCTGTGTTCTCTCCAGCAAAGGGCTTGGCACACAGTAGGTGCTCAGGAACTGACAGGTGGGAGATGGGACGCTCGGCCTGTGCTTTCTTGGTAATTGTTTTAGTTCTTTCTTGCTCAGCAATGTTTGGAGAGGAGATAGAAGAATCAAGATCTTTGAATCTAAATATTGTTCCAACAAACATTTACTCTGTCTCTTAAAATACAGAATATTTCTGAAGGGTTTTTTTTAAAACAGGGTCTCATTCTTTTTTTTTTTTTTGGTCTGAGATAGGGTTTCCCTGTAACCCCCCTAAAATACTTTGTCTTTCATTCATTTCCCACAATTTGTGCTCGTTGTGGCACACAGTCTAGTGTGACACACATGAAACTCAACTGGAAGCTGCCACCCAGCGGTGAGGTCACAGGCATGCCATCACAAGGGACTTTTACTGGGGTGCTTGGGATCTAAATTTTGTCCCTCATGCTTGCACAGCAAGGACTTTAGACACTGCGCTCTCTCTCCAGCCCCACCTTGGTTTTTGAGGGGACAGGTGTCTTACTATGAGCTTGGGCTAGCCAAGTAGTTTAGGCTGGCTGGCCAGTGAACCCCAGGGATCTGCCCATTACCCCCAGGGCTGGGTTACAAACTGGAAACACCATTCCTGGCTTTTAAAAACATTTGTTTTGAGACAGGGTCTCCCTGTAACCCCACTGGCCTGGAACTTGCTATGTAGACCAGGCTGGCCTTGATCTCACAGAGGTCCCCCTGCCTCTGCGTCCCCGGTGCTGGGCTCAAAGGCATGCACCACCATGCCCAACTAGAGTCTCCTTCTTTAACCCAGATTGGCCTGGAGGTCACTGGAGGCAAGGCTGTCCTTGAACTTACTTCAGTCCTCCTGCCTCAGCTTCCCAAGTGCTGGGATTATAAGCGTGAGCTACCACACCAACCTAATCCTAAAGGTTTTAAAGATGACCCAGCATCAACAGGGCTGTGGAAAGAGAAGATATGTGTATCTAAGACCCAAATTCCTCCCCGCAGCCCTCCAGACCTCTGGGCAGACCTGTGTGCTCTCCCCATTTCATCCCACACTTCTTTGCCTCTGGCTCTCAGTGCCTGTGCTGTTCTGTCTCTTGTTCTGTCCTGAGCATGCCAGGCTCTGGCCTCTGCCTGGAATACTCTTCCCACACACCCTCCCTTCTTTGAACACCAGTACCATGGCCTCAGGGAGGTCCTTCTAGCCAAGCCTCACTACAAGTGGTCACCTGTTGTTTGTTCCTTCACAGACCATTTCCTGGGATTATCTCCACTACTTAATGTGATTGGGTTTTAGGTTTTTTGTTGTTGTTGTTGTTGTTTTTACAGGGTCTCCCTATAGTCCCAGCTGACCTGAACTTACTATGTAGACCAGGCTGGCCTTGAACTACAAAGATCTGCCTGCCTCTGCCTCCCCAGTGCTAGGACTAAAGGTGTGTACCACCATGCCCAGCCAAATGTGATTGTATTTTTATTTACTGTCTCCTTGACTTGAACAAGCTCCAGGAGGCTAGGGACCATTCATGGGTTTCCTCACTGATCTGTGCCAATTGCCTGGCATATCACCATCATCTTAGTAAACATCAGTTGAACGAATGAATGGATAAGTCCTCTGGTGACATACTAGCCTCTAGGCCAGTGAAGCCTGGTACTAACTCATGTCCCTTCCTCTGTTCTTATTCTAACCTGTGCTTTTCACCCCATTCTTGGTATCCTGAGTACTGGCCCAGCTCCCTTGGCATGTAGATCCATCCTCCATATGACTCAGGTGTCCTCTCTAGCTTCTTGTTTCTGTCATGAATTCTATTTTGGGGGGGGGTGTGGCGGGGTGGGAGAATGTAGCATTGGCTGGCCTGGAACTCCCTATGTAGTAGACCAGGCTGGCCTCACAGATCTTTGCCTTCCTCTGCCTCCCAAGTGCTGGGATTAAAGGTGTATGTCACCACACCCAGCTCTATTGTGAATTCTTTACCACCTCTGGAGGGCCCTGCAGGCCCTGTTGCCAGAGCTGTGGGCCTCTCAGCTCAGCCTTCCCTGCCAGGGTTCTCTAACTGTGGCCTCCTGGCACTAGGCCAAAATACCTTTCCTCCCATTCTACTCAGAATTAACCTCTCACCCGGGCACTGGGCTTCCTGCCCAGCTTCATGTTTACTGTGCACCAGGGATATATGTCAAACAGTCATCCTCCCTCATCCCTGCTGGTCAAAAAACTGGGGGCACTGATGCCATTCCTCCCCTATCTTCCCACAGGTACGTCTCCTGTGCCCTCGGATGCCCCTACGAGGGGAAGGTCTCCCCGGCTAAAGTAGCTGAGGTGTGTGTGTGGTGAGGCAGGGTTTTGTGAGGGTTGGCTTTCCTTGCCTGTCCCCGCCTATACAGGTGCCCCTCACCACCCTACTCTAGTGAGGACACTGGTTACATTCACACATGTGCACACACATGCATGCACATACACTCACATACTGAGAGCGCAGCGGCTTCTCTGCAGGCCCACCTCCTTGCTGGGTCTCTACCCCACCAGGAAGCCTCTGATGGCAGCTTTGAGGCTCATCAACTACCAGGTGATCACCAAGTTGGCATCGTCAGGCTCCTTGTAACAGGCGAGAGGCCACATGCATCCTCTGAGTAGTAACCAAGTCTACACTGAGGAGAACCCAGCATAGGAACTGAGTTTAAACAACCCAGGGGCTTCTGCCATTTGTCTAGAAAATGGGTTTGCTGATCTGGAAGCAAGTTACTAGCCCAAGTTACAGATGGCAGAATCGGGTCTCACCCACTGTGTCCCTACGGCACCTGTTACTCCCCAGTACCATGTGGCATCCAGATAGGAAGAATGGTCCCAAATATGTGCTGAGCGTCACTGCTTGCCCGGATCTTTGCCTCTCACTGCCACCAGCCCTCACTGTGGCCCTGCAAAAGGATATTGCCCTTTTCCAGGAGCAAAAGTTGAAACTTGAAATTATGCCCCTTGCTAGTGAGCAGCACAATGAGGACTTTGACCCAGCATCACATGGCCCAGAGGCCTGCCCCTGTCACTACAGTTACCTGATGTGCACATGGGCAGGGGGTGGAATATCACCATGTCATGTATCTGGCTGATGACCACTGAGCATCTCTGTTCCAGCAGCAGGGTGTAGGCAGCCTCTGTCCAGTGGAGACCTATGCTGCTCCAGCTTTGCAGTGACTTATGGGTTTGCAAATGAGCTTCTAAAAATTTAAATAGTTCCTGGCACTTCCTTAAAGCACACAACTAGCATCTTAGAATCACACTTTCACAGATCTTATTGCCAAGGTTAAAGCTATATGAAAGGAGGCCGTTTTCCTGATCCCAACACCTGGGTCAGATACTGTGCGAGGTGTAAGTGGAGGGTGGGGGTGGGGGTGGGAGTGGTCATAGGCTGTTGCAGTGACTGGCTTTTCTGTGTCTCAAACTCCTAGCCTGGGGGATAAGCCCCATCATTTCCACTTGGAGCTGAGACCCAGTAGGAATGTAGCATCTCAGAGAGGGAGGTGATCTGCCTAGGTGAAGAGTCCCTGCTTCTGAGCCCCGGCAGCCACACGCTGGTGGCTCTGGGGAACTCTAAGTACCTGTTTGCTTCCCCAGGTCGCCAAGAAGTTGTACTCAATGGGCTGCTATGAGATCTCCCTTGGGGACACCATAGGCGTGGGCACCCCAGGGCTCATGAAAGACATGTTGTCTGCTGTCATGTGTGAGGTCCCTGTGGCGGCCCTGGCTGTTCACTGCCATGATACCTACGGCCAAGCCCTGGCTAACACCTTGGTGGCCCTGCAGGTAATGAAAGCCATGTGTTCATTCTCTCAGAGAACATGGGGCAGGGGAGCATCATTCATTTAATTTCTTTCTTTTTAAAACAAATATTATTTACTTATTTTTATTTTGTGTGTATGAGTGTTTTACCTGCATGTACGCAAGTGCATAATGTGGTGCAATGCCCTTGGATGCCATGAGGGGGAGTCAGATCCCCTGGATCTGGAATTATAGATGGTTATTAGCTGCCTTGTGCCATGGGACTGAACCTGGGTCCTCTGCAAGAGCAGCCAGTCCTCTTAACAGCTGAGCCATTATCTCCTCTCTCAGCTTATGATTCATTCTTTTTTTGGTCTTTTTGAGACAGGGTCTCCCTCTAACCCCAGCTGGCCTGGAACTCACTACGTAGACCAGGCTGACCTTGGTCTCACAGAGATCCATCTGCCTCTGCTTCCCAAGTGCTGGGATTAAAGGCATGCACCACCACGCCCACTGCATTTCTTCCTTTTTAAAAAAGTTTATTAAGAGTTTTAAAGAGAATATTCATGAGGCCAGGCATGGTGACACACATAGGGTAAGGGAGTGGCTTCCCACAGAGGGTAATAGGCCTGATGGACAAGAGAGGGAGCTATGCAGGTGCAGGGGCCTGAGGAGCCATGCTCAGCATGTTCAGGGAACATGGGGAGGTACTGGCAGCAGCCTTCTGACCAAGAGGAGGGTGGTAAGTATCAGAGGTAGAGGAGAGCCAGATCAGTGAAACCTTGGAGAACTTTGGGTCTTTCTGACTGAGTTGCAATGCTAACACTCTTGAGCAGAGGGGCAAAGGGCAAATGGCTTGACCTTGTCCCTGTTGAAGGATTCCTGTGACTGTGGCTTGGGGAATAGACTGTAGAGAGACTGTAGCAGAAGCATTAGAACCAGAGTGGAGTAATCCAAGTGAAAGATGGCAGGAAAGATGAGGTGGAAACAGAGAGGGAGCAGAGCTGATGAATGGCTGTGAGGAGCCAGGAAACCTGCAGGCTCTGGTCACCCAAGAGTGACCTCTGCTCAAGACCTCTGCTCTAGTCTTCAGGGTCAACAGTCCCAGACCACAGGCTAAGACCTGTAACAACAACCCTGGTCCCTGTGGCCCAAGTGAAGACTGAGGCTGTAGCACTAGAGGGCGCCACCTGCCATGCTGCCACCAAAACCCCAAGGTGGCTGGAACCCAGCACCAGGAGAGATCTTGTCTAGCTACCTATGCTCTCTGTCTAAACAAAAGGCCCCCCAGCCAGCTGATTGTAGGGAGCTACGCAGTCTCCCTAGACTTCACGTCTTCACCTACTTTCAGCCTGAAGACTTATATTTCCAGGCAACCCAGACATGCCCTAAAGGAAGATCTTCAAGACCCACAGCCTCCTCAGCAGCCCCACTGGAGGCCTAAAAGCTGCCACTCAGGACGTGCCCACTCACCGCTCCTCTGGCTTCCTCACCATCTTTCACTTGGATTACTGCAGGCTCTGCTCTGGTTCTAATGCTTAGGAGCCAGCTATGGGGATAGGAAACCAGGTGTATCTGATCTGCAAGCAGGGCCCATGCCTGTAGGTGGTATCCAAGCGACTGAATCTGCACAGCACCCATAGGATCTTAGGCCATTCAAGCCTAGGTAGTGTGTATGATGCCCATGGGTGAGATGCTTATGGGCACCTGCAGGATTGGGCTGCTACTCAAGCCTTACAACCTGAGTTTAATCCCCGGAACCCACATGGTGGAAGGAGAGAACTGATTGTCCTCTGACCTCCACATGCATACCCCCCCCATAGATACACATACACACAAAAATTTTAAAGTGCAATTAAACAAAAAGAAGAGGGGGTTGTAAAACATCAACAAGATGCCTATGGGAGAATTGAAGAACAGTGTTCAAGAATAGGGTGGAAACTCCCTGGCGCAAGCCGTGGAGCAGGTCATCGAGGCCGTAGGCAGCAGTGGAGGGGCAGGAGGGTCTGTGGCCTGCATACAAGTGGCAGGTTGACATGACAGCATAAGCTAATGGAGATATCTCTTCTGATCGGCTCCCCTCTGAGCAGGAGCAGCTGAGTGAGGATGGGTGCTGCTTGTGGTAGACTGGGACAGAGAAGAAAGCAGAACAGCCGTCCAGGAAAGTGGAAGGTGACTGAGCAGGAGAAATGGGACTGGCTTTCATGGGGTTAGAGGTCTCGCCTGTGAGCAGCCTTCAGACGCATGTGTGTGCGTATGTGTAAAGGAATCAGAAAACAAGAGTCTGAAATCTCAGCAGTGGCAGGGGCAGGCTGGTGACCTGGGCTAGGCTGGTGGCCTCAGGGACTTTCTGAGGAATGGTCTATAAAGAGAGACCCACAGGGTGAGGATGAACCAACCATGAAGGGAGTGGGAGAAAGGTACCCCAGCAGAGGAAGCCGTGTGGCAGGAGACTCACTGTTCAGAGAAGCACTGTCCCCTGTCAGTTTCCCCCGGACAGAATGAATGAATCATAAGCCGAGAGAGGAGATAAGGCTCTTGTAGAATTTCAGGCAACAAAGCAGTGGGAAGCTTACAAGGAGCAGGCCTGTGGGCTCTGGTCTCAGTGGCTGCCATGTCTCACCATCCTTATGTTTCCAGATGGGAGTCAGTGTTGTGGACTCTTCTGTGGCAGGACTTGGAGGCTGTCCCTATGCACAAGGGGCCTCAGGGAACTTGGCCACCGAGGACCTAGTCTACATGTTAACTGGTTTAGGGATTCACACGGTAAGCACGCCCGCCCCCTGGTGGTGACATCCCTGAACTGACCCAGGCTCTGCCTGGAGTCAGAGGACAGATTGACAGACATGTTTAGGATTGGTGGGAAGGTTAGAAGGGTGGTGAGGGATTATGGGTACTTTGTTTACAAAGTAACAGAAAAGAAACTAAACCAGTCACTAGGAGGGGGGAGAGTGGCTGACCTCAGGAAGTAGAGCAGGCCTTCATGGGAGGCCCTGACCGAGAACAGCTCGGGGTATATATATGAAGGAATTAGTAAGCATCAAGGGTCTCCATAGTGGGAAGGGTCCAGTTGTTGGCCTAATAGGCGTAGCCTGTAGATTGAGACCCAAAGGGTGAGGAGCCACCAGCCATGAAGGGAACGAGGAAAGATCTCCAGCAGAGGAAGCAGACGAGACTCAGCTCTGGTTGAACCTGACCACAAGCATGGACACAAGATGGCCAGGGTCTCAAGAGTGATGCCCACAGTTCAGTTCTAAGAGGACCCTAGGAAGTGAAAAGAGCCCTAAGAGGAGCCATTGTCATGACCTGCAGGGAGAGATTTGTTTTTGTTTTCTGAGCCTGTTTTGTGCTCTGAAGTGAGGACAGCGAAATTAGACTGTCCACCGGACTCTGTAGGAATGGCATAGAAGTCGCACAGTACCTGTGCTTTGAGATCTGGTAGACCTGTGCCTCACAGGCTGTGCGATCTCAAACAAGTTCATCTCTCCAACCTGAGTAACAGGAATGAAAATGGCACCAATCTCGTAAGACTGTTATAAGGATTAAGAAAATGCTTGGCTGGGGGTGTAGCTCAGTGGTGGGGCCCTGGGTTCAATCCCCAACACCAAAAATAACTATGTGGAGTGCTTAGCACTCAGTACATGTCAGCAGAAAGGAGCTGCTGGTACAAACAGAAGGGGACGTGGCTCCGTAGCAGTGCACTTGTCTAGCCCAAGCAAGGCTCTGGGTGCCATTCGCCACTGTTGGCCAGACCCTGTGCTGGAGCCTGGAGAGGGAATAAACTAATGAGGTCCCTTTTGGTGGTGGCCTTGCAAACCACTATGAGGGAGAGTCAGTATAACCCAGGTGCCAGGTGGACACAGCTCAGACGGCGCCTACTGTCCAGATAAGAGCCTGTTTGCTGTCACCTTCCCTTTTTCTTTTCACTGTTTTTATTTTTATTTTATGTATATGCGTGTATTGCCTGCATGTGTGTAAGTGCACCCGTGTCATGCAGTGCCTGTGGAGGACAGAAGAGGGCGTTGGATTCCCTGGAACTGGAGTTACAGATGGTTGTTAGCTGCCATGTGGGTACTGGGATTTGAACTGGGGCCTTCTGTAAGAACAACCAGTGCTCTTAACCACTGAGCCATCTCTCCAGCCCGCCTTCTCTTTTTCAATGTCACAGTTGTCTAGTCTGATGTTTCCCTGGGTGTTAAGGGCATGCTCTGACTTACCGAATCCTCTAACTTGTTTCTCTAAGGGTGTGAACTTCCAGAAGCTCCTTGAAGCTGGGGATTTTATCTGTCAAGCCCTGAACAGAAAAACCAGCTCCAAAGTGGCACAGGCTACCTGTAAACTTTGAGCCCCTTGCCCAAATGAAGACGGGGGTTTGTGGGAGTAGGGTATGTGCAAATGATTCCTGGATGGGGAAATGGAATGAGAACAAAATTAAAAGGCATCACCAAGGGGGTGAGGGCTGAAGCTGCTGCTTAACCTTGGGCTGTCCCTGCCAGACCTGAGGCCTGAGCTCAGTGAGTGGCTTTGGGGTCTGGAAACCTCCCTTCCCTGTGGACCAGTTCCCCAGAGTGGTCCTGAGTGGTTCAAGTGCCTAAAAGCCTGCTTGGGATGGCCCTGGGTTTCCCGGGTGAGTGTTGGCTAGCTGAGCTGATGTGGACACAGCTCCACCCTGCAGACACTCTGGGCTCTTTACTTCTGGGGCAGAGGGAAATTTCCCCAAAGCCAGCAGAGCATTTGCCTAGAGGCATGAGAGATGAGCCGCTGTGGTAACCATCTGCCAACTCCAGCACCTCTGGAAAATCTCCACTCTCTACATGATTTTTGAAAACTTATGTAACTAAAAAAAAGCTTATATAATTAAATACTTAATTTTCTAGTATTCAATCACAAATCTGCATTTATTCATGAGTAGAGTACTGAAATCATTCTTAGGGAAAAGGAACACTTGAACTGGTTCATCTCTGGATTTCTTCCTGTCTCCACACCTGAGCTCCCGGTGGTGGGAAGTCATGATCCTGAGGCCACCATTGGTGGCTGGCCAGGACACACAAAGAGGCTGTTTCCTGGCTGTTTCCTGTGTCTCAGCTCCCAGGGCAATTTCTCAAGCTCCCCTTAGGCAGCAGCACCCTGGAGCCCCAATCCTGTGCCTTAGTCCTGGGTATAGTCACATGCCAGAGGACAACATTGGGCATTGTTCCTTTTTTATGTGTGAGACAGGGTCTCTTATTGGCCTAGAACTAGCCAAGGCTGGCCAACCAGCAAGCCCAGGGATCCGCCTGTCTGTACCTCCCCAGTGCTGGGATTACAAACTCACTGCAATGCCCAGCTTGGCTTAAAAAAATTTTATGTGAGTTCTGGGGGCGGAACACAAGCCCTCATGCTTGCAGTCTCTCCAGCCCTGAAACCCTAATTTGGCTTTTTTTTTTTTTTTTGAGACAGGGTTTCCCTGTAACCTCAACTGACCTGGAACTGGCTATGTAGATCAGACTGGCCTTGATCTCACAGAGATCTACCTGCCTTTGCCTCTCTCTAATTTGGCTTTTTAAAACAGGGTCCGGCCTGGCCTTGAACTCAATAACCTTCCTGCCTCAGCCTCTAGGTGACAAGACTACAGGCATGAGCCACCACATCCACCTTCTTGCACACCCAACTTTTTTTTTAATCTTATTTTATGTGTATACTGTATTGCCTTCTGTAGGTAAGTGCACCTGTGTCGTGCAATGCCCTCAGAAGAGTCTTTCGGATCCCCTGGAACTGGAGTTACAGACAGTTGTTAGCTGCCATGTGGGTGCTGGGATTCAAACCCGGGTCTTCTGTGAGAACAGCCGGTGTTCTTAACAGCTGAGCCATCTCTTCAGCCCCCACACCCAACTTTTTTGAGACAGGTTCTCACTATGTAAATCAGACTGGCCTGGAATTTACAACAATCTGCCAGCCTCTGCCTCCCCAGTGCTGGGATTAAAGGCCTGTGCCACCACACCAGACTTATCTAACTTTTTTGGTTTTGTTGTCTGTTTTGAGACAGGGTCTCCCTATAGCCCCAGCTGGTCTGGAACTTACTATCCCGCCCCCCATCCCCCACCCCTATGTGGGTGCTGGGAACCAAACGTTGGTCCTCTGAAAGAGTGCTCTTAACCACCGAGCCATCTCTCCAGTACTACACCCCCACCCCACCCCGCGCCTTTTATTTTAAACAGAAACAAAACCATGTCTTAACTTGCTATAAGGTGGGCAGGCGCAAGGGCAGGGGCAGGTGCAGACACATCTCTGGGGAGTGGGGAGTGACTTAGGGATGGGTATCGCAACTACTACGGCGGATTTATCGATTCCATCCCCAGATCCTGGAGTCGTTATCAAACTGAACTTTAGGTCGCAGCCCAGGTGGCCCCAGCACGTCCTCCATCCAGCGCCATCGGGCGAAGGGCTGGGCAGGCTGGAGACTCGGAAGCCTGCGGCTCAGAGCGGGGCTGGGGTCCGTCCATCCGGTGCAGCTGCCAGGGGTGGAGACCAGGAGGGCAGAGGTTCGCGGCCGTGCCTCGCCTCTGCGACCCCACAGGTCCCCGGATGGTGTCAGTGCCCCTCACTTCTGCTCTCCATGGACATGCACTGTGCGGTCGCTTAACCTGCGCGGGCATTTTGTCCTGCGCGAGTCTCCTTAGCGCCCGTAACCCAGTTGACACGTTTCCGTGAGGGCGTGGAGTGGGCGGGCCCAGGGTGGGCTGTCAGCTCTTAAAGGGGCCACCCCTCTGGACGCGGGAGGCGGCACCGCTGGAGCCAACGTGGGGCGCAGGAGCCGCAGCAGGTTCGCGGGTGGAAAGGAGGGTGGGCTCGGAGGGGCCGTGTGATCGGTGAGGAGCGAGGGGGTTCCAGGAGGGTTTGCCTGGGTTTGCCGCAGCCCCGCAGGGCCGGACCCGCCCATTTTGCTAGCGTTTCCCGCTGCGGTGGCGGGGGCCACCCGAGTTCATTCATTCCGGGACCTGGCTCCCGGCTCGCGCTCGGAGCCCTGGACCGTCGTCCAGGATTATCTGGGCCGAGCCCGGGCGCCATCAACTCCCCTCCATTGTACAGAGTGGGAAAACTGAGGCGGCGACCGCTGGCCAAGGTCAGTCCCCGGGGCCCGGAGCGATGCGGGCCTCGGAACAGCCTTCCTACCTCCCGGAGCTCCTCGGCGACCGCTTTCCGGCGGGCGCGCGGTGAGCGGGGCTCAGGCGGTTGGCTGCGCGCCTGGGGATCCGGCCCAGCTCGGCTCTCACAGCAGGACGACCCCAGGCAAACTGCTTCCCGGCCCTGACCTTAGTACCTTTCTCTGTAAAGTTCCATTGACAACACCTGCCTCATCCACTTTGGGGGATGGGAGGGAGACCCAAGAAAATAACCCTTTAAGTGCCGAGTAGCGAGCCTGGCACGCAGTAGGCATCTAGTGAGTTGGTGCTGGATGTGCTCAAGCGGTTTGAAGCAGTCTGGAGGAAGGCGGCAGCCGGCCAGGTCTCGGGAATGAAAGGCCTCAGTGTCTGGACTTCCCGTCCGCCTGCAGTTTGCTCAGGGCGGGGATGCACACCTGGCAGTGGAGCGCGGGCCACATCCACGTCGACACCAGCCCACCCGGTGCTGCCCCAAGTTGGGCGGGATCCCTTGCTCCATGCCAGGAGTGACCCAGCTGTTCCTGGCATAGGCCGAGGCCAAGCCCCGGGGTGCCACAAGGTGGAGTAAAGCCAAACCCACTCCAGGGCAGTGATACTGCAGCCATAAAGCTGGGCTCAGCCTACCTGGCTGAGGACCCCACCCTTGAGGCTCTCTGGTATATTTTCTGCTTCCTCCTGCCTGAGCCTTGAGGGGAAGGGCTGCCTAGGTATTAGTCACAGAATCCATCAGAGTGGAAGCTCTGTGGAGGCCTGAGTCTGAAACCATAGCATCTCAGTCCTGCTTCCATCCTCTCTTCTGCCCTGGACTCGCCATTCTCCAGAGATAGAGGCAGGAAGCGTGGGTCCTCAAAAATACACCTTACCAAATCTGGGACAATAGGAACTAGACAATATGAGATGTCTGTCACCTGCAAGTAGAGGTGGTAGACTTTTAAAGTCATCTCAGTGGCCCTTCCCCTACCATGTGGTACAGATACAAAAATTAGTCTTAGAGATGGGAACTGCGGCCCATGGAGGGAAGAGAAGCTTCAGTCCCTAAGGCCAGAGTGGTAGTGCCCAAACTTGAGCCAGGGCACCCTCATAAACTCAGGTCCACCATTGCATCCCTCTGCAGTGAGGTCAGGGAACCAGTACCCAGCTGACTGAGCCGGCAACCTCAGCCACCTCTGAAGCTCTACATCTCTAACCAGGTGCCATGGCAGAGAAGGTGCTTGTAACAGGTGGGGCTGGCTACATCGGCAGCCACACAGTGTTGGAGCTGCTAGAGGCAGGCTACTCTCCTGTGGTCATTGACAACTTCCATAATGCCATCCGTGGTGAGTGAAGAGGATGGGGCATGGCCTCTAAAGGGGATGGATCCAGGATGCCATCTTCTAATGTTGATGGCCTCTGTGTGCCCCACCAGGAGGGGACTCCATGCCTGAGAGCCTGCGGCGGGTTCAGGAGCTGACAGGCAACTCTGTAGAGTTTGAGGAGATGGACATCTTGGATCAAGCAGCCCTACAGCACCTCTTTAAAAAGGTGGGTGCCATTTGGCAGTTAAGAGGAACATTACAAAGGACTGAGGTGGCAAGCCTCCGACACTCACTTTGCCCCTGCAGCACAGCTTTAAGGCTGTCATCCACTTTGCTGGGCTCAAGGCTGTGGGCGAATCAGTGCAGAAGCCTCTAGATTACTACAAAGTTAACCTGACTGGGACCATCCAGCTTTTGGAGGTAAGAGGGTAGGGACACAGACCCCAGGAGGGCCCCAGGATGTCTGACATGCCAGTCACAGTAAGGGCCTGTGTAGGAGAGTCTAACAGGGCCCAAGCTGTACGATCTTGGACACGTGCCTTTATTTACCTCCCAGCCTGTTTCCCTCTCTTTACCTCCCAGCCTGTAAATGCGTGCCCATCGCCTCAGCCCCACTCTCTTAGGGTGGACTAACAAGTAGGACTAATTGATGAGGCACAGGCCACTGATCCTCCCCTCCATGGCCAGATCATGAGGGCCCACGGGGTGAAGAACCTGGTATTCAGCAGCTCAGCCACTGTGTATGGGAACCCCCAGTACCTGCCTCTGGATGAGGCCCACCCAACAGGGGCCTGTACCAATCCCTACGGCAAATCCAAGTTCTTCATCGAGGAGATGATCCAGGATCTATGCCGGGCAGACACGGTGAGGACCCCTTGTCCCAGCCTTGTCACCCCTCATTGACTGTACTCATCATGACTCCCTTGAGCCCAAGACTGGGATCCTGGGCACACTCACCATAAACAGGAGGCTAAGGCTCAGAAGTGGCCAGGCCTTGGCTTGCCCAAGGTCACAGCACTGGCAGGGCAGCCCCCCTCCCTTGCTCACTTGTAGAGAATGCAGAAGACATGGATGAGGTAGAGGGCTGTGCATTCACTTGGGACTCACTGCATGTGCCCCAGCCCCACTCTGACCTGCATCACACAGGCCTGGAACGCAGTGCTGCTTCGGTACTTCAACCCCATAGGCGCCCATGCCTCCGGCCGCATCGGCGAAGATCCCCAGGGCATCCCCAACAACCTCATGCCCTATGTCTCCCAGGTAGGGGGGATAATCCTAGGGTGGCCTCGGAGTACCACTGGTGCCAGGGACCTGGAAGAAGCTGACCTGACCTCTGCCCTAGGTGGCAATTGGGCGACGAGAGGCCCTGAATGTCTTTGGTGATGACTACGCTACAGAGGATGGCACAGGTAAGCCTAGAGGACCCAGGAGCGGGGCAAAGAGGAAGAATGAGGTGTGACAAACTCCATCCAACCACCTCTACAGGCGTGCGGGATTACATCCATGTGGTTGATCTGGCCAAGGGCCACATAGCGGCCTTGAAGAAGCTAAAGGAACAATGTGGCTGCCGGGTAGGAAGTGAAGACAGAAGCCAGGGAGGGAAGGGGTCGGAGTCCTAGCTGAATGGGGCACAGAGGGGTGGACAGTGCACCCCATTCGACAACCCGTTCTCCCGGGCAGATCTACAACTTGGGCACAGGCACAGGCTATTCTGTCCTGCAGATGGTCCAAGCCATGGAGAAGGCCTCAGGGAAGAAGGTAGGCCCCACCCATTCACCTCACAACAGAACTCCCTTCCCACTCACCCACCCTCTAGGAGCCCCAGCGCACCCATCTCCAGCCACCTGGCAGCTCCGTGCTAGGTGCCTGAGTAGCACTGTTGTACTCTGGCATTTCCCAAATACCTGGCTAGCCCTAGGTGGCTGAGGCCCAGGGTCTACTCCCTCCCTCACAGATCCCATACAAGGTGGTGGCACGTCGGGAAGGCGATGTGGCTGCTTGTTATGCCAATCCTAGCCTGGCCCATGAGGAGCTGGGCTGGACAGCAGCCTTGGGGCTAGACAAGATGTGTAAGTGTTGGCCTCACCCTGGAAAGTGAGGGGCTGGCTCTAAGGACAACTTTGGGCTGGGCTGCTCTTGAGGCAAGTCATTAGCACCCATGTCTGTCACAGGTGAAGATCTATGGCGTTGGCAGAAGCAGAATCCTTCCGGCTTTGGGGCACAGGCCTGAGGACCACCCTACCATGGACCACAGAGGGAAAAGCAGCAGCCACCCACTCTCCAGCCTCAGCAGGATCCCACATCCCCCAGCTCTGGGGCCAAGCCGAGGCCACCCTACCTCAAATGCTAGCCAGCCACTCAGTACTGCAGACAGGAGACCTTAGGCTCTGCTGACCAGGAGCTAGGGTCTCTCAGACCCGTAGGGTCCAGGAGTTTGTGGGACCATCAGGCTGGGTGAGGAGGCAGGGTTCTGGGACCAGAATCTCTTCTAAGGCACTAACATACTGCTATGAAGGAACTTTCCAAGTATTTAAAATAAAAATGTTTTCTTATCCTGGGCAGTTTGTCACGGATGGTCACTCTGCACCTCTTGACTATGATGAGGCAGGCAGGCCTGAGAGTTGAGGAAGCAACTTAATTTTTATTGGAATCCAGGACAAAACAAGAAAAACACCCAAAACCACATGGAGACAGAAGACGAGACACAACTCCTCCCCCACCACCTCCCTGGCCCTAGAGTGGGAACATAGTGAGGGTGAGACAGCAGGGGCAGAGGGCCCCTGAACCTCAATCCAGTCCTGCAGGCTCCAGGCCTGCAAGGAAGGGCCACAGGGAGGTAGGGCCCAGCCCCAAGGGGGAGGGAACGGCTGAGGGGAGGCCCTGAAGGACTCTTCCTCCTCACCGACATGCCTGCCCAGGGGAGGGCAGCCCACAGCAGCAAGGGGCCCTGGGCCATGGACACCGACACATTCATGACTGAAAAGCAGCTGCAGTGAGCCAGGAGAGACGCGATTATCCGGGCAGAATCACTGGGGTGGGAACCCAGGAGGGCCCCACGGGCCAAACCCTGAGGTCGCAGGAGGGGGCCCAAAGCGGGGCTAGTGAATGAGGTCCTGAGTGAGTGGGTCAGCGGCTGGGCCCCTTTCTCCCGCTGCCTATGGCCCCTCCAATACTGCTGCCAGGGGCCCGCCTCTGGGGGTGTAGGGTAAGGAAGCAGTCCATCCCTGCTGTTGACTGCCAGATGGCCGAGGTCAGCAGGGAAGGCCTGGCCAGCCTCGGCCACCTGCCCCAGAGGCCTGTGGGAAGAGGACAGGGTAGGAAAAAGGGGGCAGGGGCTCGACCGGCTCAGATCCAAGATGGTGCCGTGCTTGCTTGCTGGGTCCCCTGTGAACTGAGGGACTGCACTGGGGGCCAGCAATGGATTAGACGGGAGGCAGAAGCTTCTCCAAAAATTCCTTCACAGCTGCCATTTCCTGGGGTGAGGTAAGATTGTGAGGCTCCCTGCTGGAGGGAGGAGGGAGAGCAGGCACAGGACATCCTTACTAACCTGAGGACAGGAGCTGTGCATGACACCTGGGTATGTCTTGAACTGAACCCTGGCAGGTGTGACAACAGACCGGAGCTTCTCAGCTGTCAGGGCTCCAAACCGCACAGGCACCATGGGGTCCAGCTCCCCATGGCATTGAAGAATGGCCAGGTCCTTGGCACTGCCATTGGCTGCCTGTGGACCAAACAGGATTCCCAGGGCAAGATGGGTGCTGTGCAGTGCAGAGCCCATGCCACAGGGACCCTCAAGGCAGGAGAGGCTTGTGGGAATACTCACCTGGGGGAAATTCCGATGCAGAGGCAGCCAACAGCTCAATGCCACGATGCCAGCCAGAGGATGGGGACAGGTGAGGGCTGTGTAGAGGGACAGGGCCCCACCCTGGAGGGAAAAGAAAATGACAGGTCAAGAGGGCCCAGCTCACCCTCCTGGCCTCTTCCCCCTCACACCCTCATCACCTGTGAAAAGCCACCCAGGACAATTCGATTGGCAGGGATTCCATTCTTCATCTCATGTTCAATCAAGGCCTTGACTGGGAGGAAGGGCATAACTGAGTGGAGGAAGCTGCTGGAGGCCCGAAGGCAGCCAGCAGGCACTGCCCAGGGCTTTTAAAGGGGAGGTAGGGAGGGAATGCCCAGAGAGGACTGGGGCCTTACTGTTCTCCGCTGCCTTCTTAATGCCAGCCTCATCCTCTGGGGCATCTGGACTCAGCCCCATCAGGTCAAACCTGGGCAATCAGAGGCAATGGCTTCTGGAAGACCTGGCCAGCCCCTGCATCTCCCTCGGTTCCCATCTCCCTCCAGCCCCAAACTCACCAGGAAGGCATCACCATCTTCATGTTGAGTGTCACAGGGATCCTGGGCCTGGGGAGAGTTAGCCAAAAAGGCTCAGGAGGCACAGAGCATCAGCAGAGAGCCCAGGAAGGGGCGAAGCAGCCCTTGGGGGCCCCTCCCAGCAGGCAGGGCCTGTGTTTCAGGTGTTGCCAGGCAACCTGCCACGTGGGGCTGGAGGCTGTGGTTGGGGCATCAGTGGTATGGATGGAGAAACAGAAGCCAACACCCAGTGATGGGGTCCAGTTCAGGGGGTAAGTACTCAAGAAAGGGGCAGGGGAGGCTCTCATCCAGGAAGCCTTGGGTCTAGAAAACCCTGTGGGTGGGGGGCTGGGACTAGAGCCCATTCCCAGGGCTCCGGGGAGCTAAGGCTGAACATGGCCTAACTGGAGCCCAAGCCCCAAGAGGCAGCTGATAGACCAGGCCTCGAACTTCAGGACCACCCCCCTTGGCCCCTCCCTAGCTGGGGTGACACTCACGCATGGGGACAGATGTACTTGACGTGAGGAAGCCGGATGGTGGAGAGGGCGTCAGCCCAGCTGTGCCTGTGGGAGGGAAGGGGAAGAGGCGCTGGTATAGAAAGGAACGGAAGGGACGTAGGCCCTCCAGCCCTGCCTGATGAAGGAGCACTCACCCTGTGTCTCCAAGTCCATGTAAAAAAATAACCTAGAAAAGGGTCAGAAATGGGGAGATGAGAAGGTTCCTCCTTTAGATCCTCCAACTTCATCTCATCCCTCCTCCCCTTAACCCAGGACCTGAAGGAAGGAACTGAGCTGGAAGTCAACAGGTTATTAACCGTGAGCCTCCTGGCTTCAGGCTACTCCCTTCTCACACTGCCACCTCCATGTTTCCCACACTGCCTACAGCCAGTGGCCACCCACCTAGGTCTGGCTCAGGGCTTACCGCAGCCGTTTCCCGCTCAGCTCCAGACACGGTGGCAGCGTCAGTGAGCAGGGGCACAGACATTGTGTTACCACACATACACTGCAGGGCTTCCTGCAGGCTGGGCCTACACAAGTGAGGGTGGTAGGTAAAGAGCAAGGCCTGGCCAGAGAAGCCTCCTGGTTCAAGAGGCCCACCCAGGCCTTCAGCCCTACAAGGCATCAGAGTTTGACCCTGAGCAAACAAAAAGAAGCCTGGGGCAGAGGGTAGAAAGCTGCCCCCCCCAGAGTTGAGAAGTAGAGGCAGCCATCCTCTTGGGGTGGGCCAGAAATCAAGACCTTGGTTCTGACCCAATCCCAAAGCCTCCGATGGGCTGGAGCAGAGTTTAGGGACTGGAGGTGGAGGAGAGAGGGCAAGGGAAGGCAGGGCAATCCCTGCTGCCTTTACCCCCCTAAGCCTCTGAGCCCTAACTGCATCTTGCCAGGGTTCCAAACATCCCTTCTCTGGAGCCCCTGTATCCACTCCTCCCTGAGTCCTGGCCTTAGGGGGAGATGAAAAGGAGAAAAATGGCAGGAAAACAGGCTTTCAGTCACGCCCACCTCCCATCTTCTGCATCCAGCCAGCCTCCCCTTCCATCCAGACTTCACAGCAGTCTGGCTCAGCCAGAAATCCCCAGGATCCCTGGAGGCCCTTGTCCCATGAGCTCCTAACAACGCCAGTCTGCCACCTTGCACCCCAAACTAGTGCTCCAAAGCCCTCCCATCTCCACGGGGCTACCTGCTGTTGCTGTGCCACTGACTCCAGGTGGGCCCCCAACTGAACAGGTTCTGGGACTCCCAGCATGAAATAATGTCAAGCTGGCTGGCCCCTCCCCATCCTTAGCATCCTCCAAACTCCGGAAGCTTCCGCTACCTGCCTCTTGGGTGTCCACCTTTTGCAGGGCGCCCCGCCCTCCTGCAGGTTCCCACCTTCCAGCTCTGACCTCGATAGCCCCTCCTCACGGTAGGACGCTCACCAAACATCTACACCTCGGACCCTGAGGTTCCTCTTCCCAAAGAGCATGCACCTGCCGCCCTAAGCCGGGATCCCCTACGTTCTCGGCCTTGGGAGACTCCCACCTCCACGCGGCTCCCCCTCTCCAAAGGCTGCCTGCCCGCCCGGCCGGGTGTCTCCCACTTCCCACCATGGGAACTCGCGTTCTGACCCAGGGTCACCCCATCCTTACAGGAGCATTTTCTAGCCTGCCCACAAAGCGGCTGTGATCCCAGGGAAGCCTCTGCCCCACGATGGGGTCTCCCGCTGCCCACCGCGCCGCCCTCCCGCCACTCGCGTAGCTCCTCGCCGGGCCGGCGCGAGGCTCGAGTGCCCAGAACTGGACAGCGCTCCGCACGCTCCCCGCCCCAACCCAGCGCGGCCGCCCGGGGACCCCGCAGCCCGCTCCCCCGGGCGCGCCCGCCGGCCGGTACCTCACTCCCAAGGGCTTCCGAGACCACTCGAGCGATGCTCCCCTTTCTCCGGCACAGACACACTCGTCCCCCTCGGACGCCCCCGCCGGAACTTCCGTTCGAATCCCGGGAACCCAGCCATCGCGCTGCCGGAAGTAGCCCGGCCAGTGGCACGGAACCCGGAAGCGGGGCCGGGTTTCCCCACCTTGGAGCTGCCATGTTGCCCACGGTGGGGCCGCTCCCTAGTTACGGCGTTGCCAACTACAGCTTCGGGACCCGCCATCCGGATGCCCAGCCCCACCGCCACCCAGGCCCTCCTGGAGGACAGGTGTCCGGAAGGAGACGCATTTTTCACACTATTAGCAATTATTAGCATAAAGTTGAACATCTTCTAGCTCCGTGGGGGGGGGGGGGGCGGTGTTACTCCCAGGTGTGGCCCTGTGTATTCACTTTTGTTCAAATTTATTGTATGTATTTAAAGCCCAGTATTGGATACATAAGTAGTAAGGCCCGGGGGGGGGGGGGGGGCGGTGTTACTCCCAGGTGTGGCCCTGTGTATTCACTTTTGTTCAAATTTATTGTATGTATTTAAAGCCCAGTATTGGATACATAAGTAGTAAAATGGTTACTATAATGAAACTCTTTAACACCTCACTTACCTGTTTCCTTCATGTGGCAAGGTAACTGAACTCATCCAGCAAAACTCCTGATACTATTAAGTAGATCTTTCCACGTGGCCGTTCTCCACACTGGTGTTCATGTCTTATTCCAGTTTCACAGGATCATGGATGGAATCATACACTCTGGCCTGAAAAGACCCAAGATCACCTGTCTTAAAAGATGAGGAAACTGAGGCTTAGAGAAGGGAAGTAAATAAACAGCAACTCAAGATTACACTGTAAGGCTTGCTCCCTTTCCTGACCTGCTTCCTGAGCTATAAAATGGTGTCAATAATTACCACCCTGCGTACTTCATAACTTTGCTGTTAAGCTCAAATGAGGTCGTGTGAATGTGCTTTGAACAACTGTAAAGTCAGCGTGAGGCCTTAATCTCAAAGGGCCCTGGTAAAGAATGGAGTCAGGAGGATAGCTGAACATTATGGAAGAGTACCTCAGTGCTGGCTTAGCACTGGCCTTAAGAGATGTCCTGCAGAGTGCACCGAGCGCCACCACCAGTGATCTAAGAGCAAAAGGGCTTCATTTGGTCGCCACTGAGTCACACTTTGCAACTGGGCTTAGAGTCCACGCTGAGAGACAGACTGAACTGAAGGACCACATCTCTTGAAGAAAACCTGTAGGGATCTGCAAACAGGAAATGAGTCACCCCAGTCCCTCAGAGGCTGAGGACTCATCCTCCCAACTTAACCACATTTTTTTTCTTTTTTCTTTTTTTTTCTTTTTGAGACAGGGTCTCCCTGTAGCCCCAGCTGGCCTGGAAATATGTAGAAAGGCTGGTCTTGAACTCACAGAGATCTGCCTGCCTCTGCCTTTTGAGTGCTGAGATTAGAGGCATGTGCCACCATACCTGGCTAACCACACTACTTTTTTTTTTTTTTTTTTTCTGTGAAATAAAAGCAGTTCCAGCTCAGAAGCCCAACTTTCCTCAGCCAAGAAGCAGTCTGTTCTCATCTTCGCGTCAACAGGTCATGGAAATGGAGCCTGGAATACCAGGATCTGGGCATCCGGGCAGGAAAACTTTGGGTAACAAGGGAACACTGCACATCAAAGGCCTGGGGCTGGATGTCACAAAGGGAAAGCTGAAAGCAATACAGCTGGCCCCAACAGAACCCCTTCTGGGTTGGCATATGGAAGAAGTGAACCTGCACCCTCAAATCACCTGCACCATCACAGCACTATGGGAAATTGCATGACACTTCAAATAAACACCGGTTGGCCCACCTGTGCTGCATGCTTTAGTTAGTGAAACTAAGGTTAGCCCTCTTTGAGGTGTTGGGTGTTTTTACACGTATGATGTGTGTGTATACATGTTTTGTGTGTATTATCAGTAGGCAAGCTCAAGTGGCAGTCCTCACCTCCACCTTGTTTTTGAGGCAGGTTCTCTCCTGTTCACTGCAGTACCATGTATGCCAGTCTGGCTGGCCCGTGAGCTTCTGGGCGTTTCTTGTTTCTGCCCCTCCTCTCATCCAGGAGTGCTGGGATTATGGCCTGGCTTTTTAAATGGGCTCCAGAGATCCTAACTCAAGTTGTCAGGCTTGGGCAGCAAATGCTTTTAACTCACTGAGCTAGCGAGGTTTCACATTCTAATTTTCCCTTAATCCAAATTGTAAAAATGGCAGTTATTCTGGCACTAGGAATCAAGCTCACATGCTGGGCAAGCGCTCCACCAGAGCTGTATCCTCACCCAACGGTGCACATGCTGATCTTCAAAATAGACTTGTGGCTAAGCAGGTAACCTCAGCGCACCCAAAACCATTTACATTCTAGTTTTCAGGCTGCATTTCAGAATTTTGATTCCCAACAAGACTTAAGAGTAGCAGACCTATTTTCCAAGGACAGGCTGGAGAAAGTGGCTATATCATCCTGACAAGTGTGGGCCAATCACTCAGAGGAATTCTCGAGGATTAGACTCAGCACCAATTCCTTGTACCAACTCTTCCCACTTTCTGTAACAGAATATACAGGCATCTCAAACGCTCTTACAGACACTTAAATTTTGTCAGTTGCTGTGCTGACTTTCCGACTTTGGTTTACCTGCAGTGGATTTTCTGTTTCTATCTGTCCTAGTTTGCTCTTCATTGCTATGACAAAACACTCTAACCACTACCAACTTGGGGAGGAAAGGGTTTATTTAGCTTATGTATCCTCCTGGGTCACAGTTCATCCAGGAGCCCAAGGTAGGAACTCAGGGCAGGAACCTGGAGGCAGGAGCTGGAGCACAGGCCATGGAGGAATGCTGCTTACTGGCTCGTTCCCTTGGCCCCTGCTCAGCCTGCTTATGTAACACAGGCCTACCTGCCCAGGGGTGCCACCACCCACAGTGGGTTAGGCCCTCCCACATCACTCATCAAGATGCCCCTCATACATGGCCACAGGCCAGTCCAACAGAGGCAATTCCCCAATTGTGGCTCCCTCAACCCAGGTGTGTCAAGTTGACACTAAAGCTATCCAGCACACTATCCTATCCAAATCCTCACTTCTTTTGATGCCTCCAGAATCTGTCCTTTGTTTTTATAAATGTCACTTCTCCTCATGAGAAATGGAATTTAGGTTTTTAACCCCAGCATTCTCTTTACAAAATGTGAAAGTAGGAAATGATTTTACCATATTATACAGAATTAAGCTTTACCTTTTCCTGGAGAAAGTTATCTTTATTTGTGATATTTATGATCTACCTAGATCAAAACAAAAGTCCAACTTTAATTCAGTCCACAGTGAAGTATGTTTCACCAATACTAAAGAGCACAGAAGAAAATTCAAATATAAGTCTGGCAAGGATTTATTAGGAAGCTCATCAGTCACAGTGAATAAAAGCCACAAACAGAAGAGCCAGAAGATCTCCAAATCCCAGCCCTGGTACAGCACAAGTTAGAAGTTAATGAACAGTAGGGGGATGCCAAGGGGAATCTTACCCCACCAGGTCACTCACACACAGAGAAATGACTTTCCATGTTCTCCCCAGACTGCTTGACTGGCCAGTGGGAAAGCAGACCTCCCCATAAGCAGTCCACATTAGGAAACTCCTGCCTTTCCAGCTATCATCATGGACGTTTGTGTGACAGCGCCAAGTTGGGTACCCTGACAAGAATGCTGGCCAACGACAGGAGGGAGCAAGTAGGAACGTGTGTTTCTAGTTGGAGACCCTCCTGATGGCTAACACAAACATAAAACTCAGGTTTCAGAAAGATTCCTGTAGCCCAGGAAGCTTCCTTTTTTAAAAAGGACAAGTCACACAAAAACCCTGCCACAAGCAAGACACTTGGGATCCCATGGCCACACTGACTGGAAAAGCAAGCGTAATGCATGATGCCAGATGCCACCCAGTCTCTGCAATGTCCTAAAGAACGACTGTCCCTTCGCACCCACACCACTCCCAGTGGTCACAGGCCAGATTCCTGCAGCAACCCCAAAGACAAAGCCTGGCCAAGGCTGTGGCAGGCAACTCTCGCTGGAGCCTCCTCTGTCCCTCCCAGCAGGTGGTCATACATCTTCACTGACAGCACGTCTGAGGGAGCCCGGGCCAGCCCTTACGAAATGAAGTGTGTCTGTGGGGTGACCTGATGCACCCGGTGGTCTGCCGGGTTGGCCGATGCTTCGTAATTGCAGATGGTCACCTCATGCCGACGAAGCTGTAAGAAAAGGGGCAAGGTCAATGGTCACTAAGGAACTGTCTTTTCCAGAGCATACACACCGCAATACTCCTTTATTCAGGTTCTAGCCAGATGGCATCTCTAAAGCTCCCCTCTGATGAAGCTGCTTCTCTTGAGAAGCCAGTAAATACCATTATCAAGGACTGTAAGCTCAGAGGACCCATTCTCCCACTATAGTGGGACACCATGAGAAGAGGAACTTGTCTAAGGATCTTAGCATCTTTCTCTGGTGCCTGGAACAAGAAAGAGGAAGAACAGGTTTGGAACCTATGGCCTCCTGAATGCTAGGGGGCTCTCTGTCATTGAGCTACACCCCCAGCCCTGTACCAAAAACATGCTTAATAAAGACTCTCAAAGTACAAAACTGGGAACTGGCATAAATTACATTTCAGTCCCCTTAATACCTATAGTGGGGCTGGCGAGATGGATCAGCAGATAAGAATGCTTGCTGCTAAATCTTAGTTCAACACCCAGAACCCACATGGTGGAAGGACTGAAATACTCCCACAGGTTGTCCTTTGAGTACTACATGCATGCCATGGCACATGTACACCCATACATACACACACAAAATACATGTTAAAAAAAACAATAAACTGTACAGTCTATCCAATGAGGAAAGGTATAATGATGAAATCAAGAAAAACTATTAACAGATGAAACGACCCCACCACTTGTACTCTTTCCTGTCCCCGGAGCTCCTGCCCATGGAGTGTAGATACACATTTACCAATCCCAATCCCTTTTACCTCTGTCCACTCTCCTCTCAGGCCAATATAAAAGATCTTTGTGGTATCTGCTCCAAAGTTTTTTGAGATATGAATGGACAAATGATAGACATTTGAAAACCGGGAGATTCTAGAGGACAGGAAGAAGGAGAGAAAACACAGGTTACTATGCAGTGAGCATCTCACCACCAGGCAGACAACAGTTTAGTTTCACTTGTGGCACAACCCAGGTATATGCCCTAGGTCCTTGGGTCCTTGATTCTGTTTTCTCCTTGGGAACAGCAATCAATTCAGTGAACCTTTACTAAGCACCCACCAGATCCAGTCCAAGGCAGTAGGGATAGAAAGCTGAATAAACAAAAGACCAGGCATGGTGCTATATGACATCTCAGCACCCAGTAGGCAGAGGCAGGAGGATCACCAGATGTTTGAGATCAGCCTGAACTACAAAGTAAATTCCAGTTCAGTCAAGGTCACACAGCAAGAGACTGTCTCAAAAAAATAAAATAATCCAAAAAACAGTGCTTCGGAACAGGAATGAGAAATGGTGTATAACCAAGCAGGGTTGCTACCCCATTTTTATAGTTTCAACTTTACCCTTAGGAAAAAAGAGAAAATTAAAGAGGAGAGCAGGTAGGGCCAGGCATGGTGGCACAGACCTTTCATCCCAGCACTCGGCAGGCAGAGGCAGGTGAATGAGATTGGGTCTACACAATGAGTTCCAGTTCCAGGCCAGGTAGGGCTACAAGGAGATCCTGTCTCAAAAATACCCCAAAAGAGATGGCATAACCCAGTGAGTTATAAGCACTCTATGCAGAGGCATTCTGAAAACACCTTTCCCAAAACCCCGTAGTTGTTCATCCAGAACTGTTCAGTGCTTCCAAGTTAACAAGTCTGTGTAGTTCACTGAATCTCTTGCCAAACTTTGCCACGCCAAGGATCAAGCTTCCTCTGCTGTTTTAACTTGCCTCCAATGATCAGAAAGCAGGAGACTGGCCAAAACAAAGAGGCAAGCTCATGGACTGCATGCTCACTGCACATGAGGGAGAAGTCACAGGCACATGCCTGAAATCCTGTTGTGGGGAGACAGAGGATTTCAAGTTCAAGGCCAGCCTGGGCTATACAGTGAGACCCTGTCTCCAAAAAGGAAAACCAAAAGCCATAAGGAGCAGAGGACAGCTCCCATGCTTACTTCGTAGCGTACTCTAACTCTCCTGTAACATCCCGGTTCAGACTGAAGGTCTGATCTGGTTCCCTTTCTGTGTCATCAAATGACATCTGGGGAATGTTCTTGTACCTGAGAAAAGAAAGGAAAAAAAGGTCATGGAGTATGAATACCAACTTTTCCAGTTCTTCCAAACTCCCTGATGACTACTCAATTGTTCCATCAAAAGGAAATCAAAACGTGGAATAAAAATGGCAACTTACCAGCATTTATATATAAATATCTTTAAGTCAACAGCAACAACAACAGAACCCTGAAAGATGAGCACATTAGAAGGAGCCTGAAGTCCTAGCCACTTGGGAGACCAAGTACTGTTTGAGCTGAGGAGCTCACTCAGGGTCAGTAGGCAATTTAGCAAGATATCTTGAGGGAGGGAAAGAAAGGGAAGGAGGGAGGAAAGGACGGGGAAGGGGGGGAAGAGGCAGAGGAGAGGGAGAGAGAGGGCTAGTAAAGAGCTAAGAAGTGCAGCAGAACCCACTGGCATCTTTGAGTGGGTTAAGGCCCCATAAGAAGCAGTATTCAGAGCCACAGCTCAAACTGGGTCACGAGCAGGGAGCATACGGAGAAAGCAGCAACTCAGCACATTCAGACCAAGCTGAGATGTGAAACGAAACAGCTTACTCATGGGAAAAATACATACTTTGGCAGAAATATATTAAACAGTTTAGGAGATAAGATCCAGTAACCCAACACTCAAGGAAGTTTTGTGTGCCAAAATCATCCAAACACTCACTTACACTTCTTAAAATACAAGTGGGGGTTTTCACTTTGAAAGAGCACACACAAAAGGGTATAAATTCACAAAAGGCTCTGGAAAGTCAAAGTACCAATACAGAAAATATTCTAAAAACACAAAAAACTAACAATAGTCTCTATAAGCTCACAAATTCTGAAGGACTAAGCCTTAGTGTTTTATTAACACACCCAGGGTGTTTTATTAACATACCCACAAACAAGGGGGTTAGATTTTCACTGTCATAGAATGTGTATAATTTTGAAAGCAAGTTTTGCTTCAAAGTGTTTCTAAGAATGATGTGGAGCAGAATAACAACAGTGAGTCCTCATGAGAGGCATTACGAGGCAGCACAACGCTGTAGTTAATTTAAAATCAGTGCCTTAACCTACAGAATGGCAGAAAACATGTGCAGCTGCCCCTCCAACAAGGGGTAAATACCCAGGACTCAATGGCAAAAGAGTAATCTGATTTAAAAAACAGCCAAACGATCATTTCTCAAAAGAAGGTACATAAGTAGAGTGTGATCGCACATGCTTGTAATTCTAGCACTTGAGATAGTCAGAAAATTTTAGGTCAGCATGGGTAATACAGTGAGACCATGACTCAAAAAACCAAAGGGAAGACATACAAAGAGCGAACAAGAATTTGAAAATACATCAAGGTCCCTAGTCATCAATTCAGAGCTAAACCACAATGAGCTATCATCTCAACCTCTTAGATTACTATTACCAAAAGATAACTGGCTGCTCCTGAGGAAGCAGAGAAGGGAAACTCCACACGCACTGACAGGAGTTATGAACGAGGGGTGTCAGGATGGAAAAGTCTCAAAAAATAGGAGGCAGAAATACCGTATGATCTAACAATTCATTACTGGGTATATATCCAATAAAAGAAATCAGTGTGGCAGAGACCTCGCACCCCTACTGCACCCAATGCTCACTACAGCACTGTCCACAATGGCCAGGACAAAGACTCAACCTCAGTGCCCATCTACAGATGAAAGCATAAACAAAAAACGTGGTTTATCTACACATGGAAAGTACTCAGCTATAAAAATAAACTGTCATTTGAGGCAATGTGGATGTTACGTGAAGTGAAATAAGCCAAACAGAAAGACAGTGCATGCCTCACAGACCTCATGGATCAAGAGTGGAATAGTGATTACAGAGCCTGAGGGTGTGGGGAATGGAGAGAGGATGGTCATCTGAGACAGGATGCAGTGGGGTTACAGGAATAGCATCCATCTATGGTTAACAACTAACTGCCAGACATAATGGTTCAATGCCTCAATTTCCACCATATGGGAGGCTGAGGCAGGAGGACTGCCATGAGCTTCAGATCAATTTGGATTACAGAGGGAGAACCTGTCTGGAAAAAACTTTTTTTAAAAGAATATTTTATTGCCAGGCGTGGTGGCGCAGGCCTTTAATCCCAGCACTTGGAAGGCAGAGGCAGGCGGATCTCTGTGAGTTCAAGGCCAGCCTGGTCTACATAGTGAGTTCCAGGACAGCTGGGGCTACAGGGAAACCCTCTCTCAAAAAGACCAAAAAAAAAAAAAAATTATTATTATTACGTGTATGTGTGTATTGCCTGCATATAGGTAAGTGCACCCGTGCCGTGTAATGCCCTCAGACGACAGAAGAAGCTGTCTGATCCCCTGGGACTGGAGTTACGGACGATTGTTAGCTGCCATGTGGGTGCTGGGATTCGAACCAGGGTCTTCTGCAAGACCAGCCAGTATTCTTAACCACGGAGCCATCTCTCCAGCCCCTGGAAAAAACTTTTTAAATTTTAAAATTAAAAAGAAATCTGGGTGTGGCACCACACACCTTTGATCCCAGCACTCAGGAGATAGGCAGGCAGATCTCTGTGATACTAGGGCCACTCTAGCCTATTTATGGAGTTCCAGGCCAGCTGGGACTATAGGGAGATCCTGTCTCAAAACACAAAACAAGAACAACAAACCAAAAGAAAAAAAGCTTCTCAGAGTGATGGTACACATCTACAATCCCAGCATCTGAAAAGTGGAAATAGGAGAATCAAGAGTTCAAGGTCAGCCTCAGTTACACAGTGAGCTGGAGGCCAGCTTGTGCCGTGTAAGAATTTGTCTCAGAAAAACCAAAACCAGGCCAGCTATGGTGATGCACGGTGGATCTCTATGAATTACACAACAGCCAGGACTACATACTACTGCCCTTAAAAAAAATAAATAGGGGCTAGAGAGATGGTTCAGTGGTTAAGAGTACTGGCTGCTTTTGCAGAGGACCCAGGTTCAATTCCCAGCACCCACAACTGTCCATAACTCCAGTACCAGGGGATCCGACACCCTCTTCTTATCTCCACAGGCACTGTACAACACAGATGCTCTTACATATATGCAGGAATACACTCATACACATAAAATAAGATAATAAATTAAGCCGGGCATGGTGGTGCACAAAGGCAGATCTCTGTGAGTTCAAGGCCAGCCTGGTTTACATAGTAAATTCAGGTCAGCTGGGACTACAGGGAGACCATCTCAAAAAGACAAAAAAAAAAGATAGTAAATTAAAAATAAGTAAATACACTTAGCATGGTGGTACAAGCCTTTAATTTAATTCCAGCATTTGGGAGACAGAGGCAGGTCGATCTCTGTGAGTTCGAGGTCAGCCTGGTCTACAAAGTGAGTTCCAGGCCAGCTGAGGCTACAAGGAAACCCTGTCTCAAAAAGACCAAAAATGAAAGAAAAAAAGAAAGGAAGGAAGGTAGGTAGGCTGGTTGGCTGATCAGTTGATCAGGGCCAATGAGATGGCTCAGCAGATATAAGTCACTGATGCAGAAGCCCGGTGACCTGGGTTCAATAGCCAGAACACATATAGAAGCAGGAGAGAACTGACTCTCAAGAGTCATCCTCTTACTCCACACACATAAACATCACACAGACACACACAAAGCAAAACCAAGGCTGGTGGGATGACTCAGGGTGGCGACACTTGCTGTGCAAGACTGATAACCTGGGCTCAGTCCCTGGAGGCCACATGGAAAAGAGAACCAGCCAACTTCCAAAGGTGTCCTCTGCCTGCCACATAGTACAATATACATAGTGTACTTAGAACTATATCTACAGGTGTGGTGGCACACACCTTTAGTCCCAGAACTTGGGAGGCAGAGGCAGGCGGATCTCTGTGAGTTAGAGGCCAGCCTGGTCTCCATAGGGAATCTAGGCCAGCTGGGGCTACAGGGAGATCCTGTCTCAAAAAAGACCAAAAAAAAACCAAACCAAACAAACAAACAAACAAACAAAAACCTGTATCTAGGGAGCTGGAGAGATGGCTCAGTGGCTAAAAGCATGTATTGCTCTTCCAGAGGATCTGGGTTTGATTTCTATCACCCATGTTGGGCAGCTCCAACACTCACTTACATAGACACACACATATACACATAATTTAAAAACAAAAAATGTATCTATACCCCAAATTAGACAAACCTTTGTTCTAGACCTACTCTAGGCACTTTACATGTAGCTCTCACTTAAGCCTCCCATGATCTCATGAGGTGGTACTATTACCACCCCACTTTACATGAGAAAATTGAAGCAAAGAGAAGATAAACAGTATCCCAAAGTCATGGTGCAGCTAACAAGCATAGCCTGAAAATGAATCCAAACAGTTCTTTAGTCCACATTTGGCCTGGATTTGCTAATGGAGACCAGGCTGGCCTCGAACTCACAGAGATCTGCCTGCCTCTGCCTCCTGAGTGCTGAGATTAAAGGTGTGAGCCACCACGCCTGGCTTAGTCCACACTTTTTAAAAATTATTTTTGTTGCCAGGCATGGTGATATACACCTTTAATCCCAGCACTCAGGAGACAAGGCAGATGAATCTCTGTGAATTCAAGGCCTGCCTGGTCTACATAATGAGTTCCAGGCCAGCTGGAGCTACAGGGAGACCCTGTCTCAAAACAAACAAATAAACAAAACAAGATTATTTTTGTATTTTATGTGTATGAGTGTTTTGCCTATCATGCATCCAGTGCCCACAGAGGCCAGAAGAGGGCATCAGGTGCCCTGGAACTGGAGTTACAGACAGTTGTTAGCCACTATGTGGATGCTGGGAACAAACTTGGGCCCTCTTCAAGAGCAGCCAGTGCTCTTAACCGCTGGCCATCTCTCCATCCCCTCAGTCCACTTTCTTAACCACAGAGCACCAGGAGAGAGATTCACTTGTCAGAAGTTAGTCAACCTCCCTAATAACTGAGTATCCAAAAGCATTGGGTAGAACATCCTGTTTCCTTAAAATGAGCACACATGGACACAATGTTAAAGACTGGTGCAAGAAGAGAGCATCATATTCTTTGGAGCAGGAGGCAGTTGTGAGCTGCAGATACAGGTGCTGGAAACCAAACTTGGATACTCTGAAAGAGCAGCAGGCACTCTGAATCACTGAGCCATCACTCTAGCCCCAAATATGGTTTTTTTTTTTTTTTTTTTTTTTGTTCTTTTTTTCTCCTTGTAGCCCCAACTGTCCTGGAACTATGTAGACCAGGCTAGCCTTGAACTCACAGAAATCTGCCTGCCTCTGCCTCCAGTGCTGGGATTAAAGGCATGGCATGTGCCACCACGTGGGCCCAGCTTCCAAGTATATTTTTAAACTCATGCTCCCAACATTAAAAAATATCAAGTTCTTGAATGCCTCTAAAATCTATTAACTCTGATCAATTTTATGCTGGATGTGGTAGTACATGCCTTTTAATCCCAGCACTGAGAGCAGCAGAGGCAGGCAGACTTCAGTGAATTAAAGGCCAGCCTGATCTACATAATGAGTTCCAGGCCAGCCAAGGCTACATACATAGTGAGACCCAGTCTCAAAAAGCCAAAAATTGAGAGGCAGGACAGATGGCTCTATGGCTAAGAGTACTGGCTACCCTTGCACAAGGCCTGGGTTTAGTTCCCAGCACCCTCATTGTGTCTAACAACGATCTATAACTTCAATTCCAGGGGAACCAACGCCCTCTTCTGGCCTCTGTGGGCACTACATGCACATGGTGCACTTACATACATGCAGGCCAAACACTCATACACATAAAAATAAAAAATTTTTTAAAAACTTTAATTGCTCAATTTTTCAGATGGCAATTTTTTATGGTGCTGGGGATTGAACCTGAGACCTGATACATGCTAAGGAATCACTCTCGAACTGAGCTATAACTCTAGCCCAAAATATTATTGAAATTTTATAGCTAGGCATGGTAGTGCATGCCTTTAATCTCAGAGGCAGGCGGATCTCTGTAAGATCAAGTCCAGCCTGGTCTACATAGTGATTTCAAGGTCAGCTGGGGCTTCAGGGAGACCCTATCTTAAAAAAAACCTGTTTGGTTTTTTTTTTTTCAAACTTTTATTGAAAAACTGAGAAGATATCCTGGAAAAAATTTGTTGTTTTAAAATTTTATTTAATGTGTATGAGTGCTTTGTTTGCATGTATTTAAGTGCACCCAAGTGTGCAATGCTCTGGAGGCCTGAAGAGGGCGTCAGATCCCCTTGAATTGGAGTTGTAGACAGTTGTGAGCTGCCAGGTGGGTGCTAGGAAGCAAACATGGGTCCTCTGCTCTTAACCACTGAGCCATCTCTCCAGCTCCATTTTTTGCTTTCTTGAGCCAGGGTATCATTCTACATACAGCCCAGCCTGGCCTGGATCTCATTATACAGTGAAGGCTGGTCTCAAATTCCCAGAAATCCTCTTGCCTCAGCCTCCAAGGTACTAGGATAACAGCTGTATGCCACAATGCCTGGCTTGAATTTTTTTTCTTTTTTTTTTTTTTGGTCTTTTTGAGACAGGGTCTCTCTGTAGCTCCAGCTGCCTGGAACGCGCTCTGTAGACCAGGCCAGCCTCGAACTCACAGAGATTCTCCTGCCTCTGCCTCCCAAGTGCTGGGATTAAAGGCGTGCGCCACCACGCCCGGCTGAATTTTTTCTTTTTTAAAAGATTTTTGGTTTTTGTTTTGAGATAGGGTCTCACTATGTAGCCCTGGCTGGCCTGGAACTTGGTATTTAAACCAGGCTGGTGTCTGCTGGGATTATCTGACACAAGATTTATTATTTATATGTTTGCATGAGCTTTTTTTTTTGGTCTTTTTGAGACAAGGTCTCCCTGTAGCTCCAGCTGTCTGTCCTGGAACTCACTATGTAGACCAGGCTGGCCTTGAACTCACAGAGATCCACCTGTCTCTGCCTCCCGAGTGCTGGGATTAAAGGCGTGTGCCACGACACCCAGCATGGCATGAGTTTTTATGTGTACCATGTACATGTAGGTACCACAGAGTCCAGAAGAGGGCATAGGGTACACTGGAACTGGAATTATAGGTGGTTGTTAGCCATCTGATGTAGGTGCTGGGAACCAAACCCCAGGCCTCTGCAGGAGCAGTGTTCTTAAACCACTGAGCCATCTCTCAGGCTTCTTTTCTTAACATGTATATGTAAGTATGTCTGTGTGCCAACATGTGGAGGCCAGTCTTTGAACAGGATCTCTCACTGGCCTGGAGCTAACCAGTTAGGGTAGGCTGGCTAGCCAGTGAGCCCAGGTATCCTGTCCCCACCTCCCCAGCACTAGGATTATAAGCACACGCCATAGTGCCTGGCATTTTCACATGGGTGCTGGGGATCAAATTCAAGTCCACGTGATTGGGAGGCAAGTACTTTACTGACTAAGCTATCCCCCTAGCCCTGTGTTGAAACTTTTAAAATATTTCCCAGCACTCAGAAAGCAGACTTCTTTAGGTTACACCAGAATAAGGTGAGCTGTCAAGAAGGAACACCTCTGGTGGCAACAAGATCTGGTGGGGTTGTTTTGTTTTTTTAATATTTCATTTATTATTTTTATTTTATGTGTATGAGTGTATTGCCTGCATGTATGTGAGTGCACCCGTGTCGTGAAATGCTTCGGAGCTCAGAAGAAGGCTTTGGATTCCCCTGGGACTGGAGTTAAGGACGGTTTGTAGCCACCATGTGGGTACTGGGACTTGAACCCGGGTCCTCTGCAAGAGCAGTCAGTGCTCTTAACCACTGAGCCATCTCTCCAGCCCCCCAAGATCTGGTGTTTTAAGAGGTACATAGAACTTTGCTAATCCAAGGTCACAGACTCAGATAGAGCAACTCCCTATCAGCACAAGACATGCAAAGATGTTTACTGTATGAAACAGCAAGAGAGAATGTGGCAGCTCACACCAAGAGCAGAATCCATAAAGAATATCTGGGGTCTGCAGCTGGGTTATTAAGAAAACTGCACAGTCATCAACAACTAGCATTTATAGAATGCTGTCTGAATGAATGGTGCCACAGTCAGCACTTTGAAGGAGATAAGCTGTTGGTCTTAAAAATGCTTAAGCTAAAACATCACTGGGCTGGGGATGAGGCTCAGTGGTAAAGCACTTGCATAGCACTCACAAGGTCTCAAGTTCCATCCTGATACCAAAAAATGCAAAAAAATCAAAGTCACCTGGGCATGGTGGCACACACCTGTAATCCTACCACTTGGGAGATGGAGACAGGAGGATCAGAAGTTCAAGGCCAGCCTGGCTACATTAGGCCCTGTCACAAAAGTAAAACAAAATTTATATATATATATATATATATTTTAAATTTAGGATCATTTATATAATTTTTATCTTTATGGATATAATTCAGGAAGTGTTAAGTGCATTTCAATGTAAATGAAAATGAGAACAAGGCCAATTCACAGCAATCCTCTTGCCTCAGCTTCCTGAGAGGATTACAGGTGTACACCACCAGACCCAGCCTGACCATCCTATGTGTGCCTGTGTGGTATGATACACATGAAGGTCAAAGGGGAATGAGGGGTATCCTGTTCTGTCATTCTGTCTTATTCCCTCAGCACAGGGTCTCTCACTGAACCTGGAGTTAGGCTGGAATCCAGCAAGCCCCAGAAATTCTTTCTCCAGCCCCCAGAGCACTGGGGTTACCAATGCTTGAGTGGCCACACCCAGCTTTTTACATGGGTGCTAGGGATTTGAACTCTGGTCTTCATGCTTGTAAAGCAAGAAGCACTCTTACCCACTGAGCCATCTCTCCACCTCTTTAAAAGGAAGACTACTGAACTTGGATATTTTCTGGAATAAAGTGTTACTGGAGAAAGAGACCTGGGAGTCTCTTAAGGGCCTTAGCCCTTGCCACTTACAGTCTCATCTCAGAGGGGTGTGAGTCATCATCCTCTCCCATTATAATGATTCCTTTGAGCTTGACATTGCCAGTAAATCTGCCATAATACAAAAGAAAAGGTCAGGTCGTCAACCTGGGACTGAATCCCATGCAGCTGTGTGACCCCAAGCAAGACCCTTGCCCTCTCTTAGCTCAGTTTATCTGTCACTTTTACTTTGAAATGTGAAAGATACTGACAGTCTATAATTCTTAAAAAAAATTGGGGCTGGAGAGTTGACTCAGCAGTTAAGAGCACTGACTGCTCTTGCAGAGGACCTGGGTTCGATTCCCAGAACCCACATGGCAGCTAGGAACCGTCCTTAACACCAGTTCCAGGGGAATCCAAAGCCCTCTTCTGACCTCTGTGGCACTGCACAACAAGGGTGCACTCACATACACGCAGGCAATACACTCGTACACATAAAATAAAAATAAAAAATTTAAAAATTACCTCAATTTCTCTATTATTAATTAAACAAACACATCTGCTTCCAGTCTGCACCAAAATAAAAATTTTTTTAAAGCTATGGGACTGGAGAGATGGCTCAGCGGTACTGACTGCTAGGGGTGGAGAGATGGTTCAGCGGTTAAGAGCACTGATTGCTCTTGCAGAGGACCCGGGTTCGATTCCCAGCACCTACATGGTGGCTGCAAACCATCCTTAACTCCAGTTCCAGGAGAATCTGAAGCCCTCTTCTGACCTCTGCGGCACTGCACAACACGGGTGCACTCACTTACACGCAGGCAACACACTCATACACATAAAATAAAAATAATAAAATATTTTTTTAAAAGAAGCTATGAGGCTTTCTTCCTCAAAACCCACCAAAGCCATCTACCCCATTTCTAGAAAGAGATGTGCGCCAATGAGCCACCTGAGGAGACAACGCGGTACAGCCGCCTTCGCCTGAGGCAGCACCAAGGAGATACTTACGGAATATTAAACAGAAGCTCTTCATCCGCATCACTTTCAACAAACTGGAGGGGACAGGGAGGGGGGAGGAGAAAGCAACAAATATTTGCTGAGAGCCTACAATTCAAGACACCTCCCTACCCTGTTCTACAACGGGAGGCAATGCAAAGACACAAGCATTTCCAGGTCCTATGAACTCGGATCTAGAACGTTTCCACCACTGTCAGATCGCCAAAGCCCGTCCAGTTAGGGGGGACCCTAATGGGGGCGTCCTCAATTGCCGACTCAGAGGCCGCTGTTTTCGTGTGTTCTTCCGGGGAAAGGGTCCACGGCTTTCCAATGGCCTTAAAGGGGGCTAGGCTCGAGTTCAAAAACCCCATCGCGTCCCTAGGCCAGGCGATCGAGTAGGCAGCCATTAGGTCCAACGGCCCTGAAGCCCGGCATGGAGCGTTCAGCTGTGTCGGGCCAAAGCGCACACCTCTCTTTTCTGGGCCTCGGTTTCCCTAGCTGCAAAGTAGAGCGCCTTAGCCTCAGTCTCCCCGCGGAGGTCTGGCAGCAGGCCGGACCAGGCAGGCGTTGGTGCCCCAGCCGGGGCTATTTTTACCCCCCGGGGCCCGAGACTCCCGGCCCGCCCGGCAGCCCACCTTGGAACGGTCCGCCCGCTCCTCCCACGGCTTGAAGACGCCGCGGCCACTGCCCTCGCAGCTCTCGTTGAGGCACTGCAGCCGCTCCAGGTCGACGCGCAGGTACAGCCCGTAGGCCAGGCCGCGCTGCTCCGGCGGCTCCTCGCGTTCGGCGGCGCAGCGACAGCCGCCCCCGCCATGGCTGTGGCCGTGCGACATGGCGACGCTGCCCGCCCGCGACTCCGTGGACGCCAGCACGGCTCGCACCTCTCGGGCCGCGCTGCCCTCCCGCCGCTAGGCGCCACGGCCGTCGCGTCGTAAAAGGCGCCCCAGTGCGGCGCATGAGCGTGGGGAGCAGGGGGCGGGGCCCGGAGTGATGGACATCCGACAGGCGCCCGCGGGGGAGGCAGCGGGAACAGCAGCGCGGAGGGACGCGGCGGCGTATCAAGAGGACGCGGGGCCGGAACGCGAACCCCTCTCTCCTAGACAAACTGAGCACCTTCCTCCTCCACCGTCACGTTCCTGGGCGCGGTGGGGTGATAAGGCCAGGCCACTGGACTGCAGCGTTGTTCTGCCGCACGCACGCGCAGGCTCACAGGAGCGCGTCCCTGTCTCTGCCTCGCCTATTTTTTTCATTTATTTATTATTTATTTACTTATTTGAGACTGCCTCCCCGTAGCCCCAGCTGACGTGGAACTCACTATATAGACCAAGCTGGCCTCAAACTCAGAGATCCTCCTGCCTCTGCCTCCTGAGGGCTGGGACCCTAGCCACTTTGTTGATAGGCCTTGATCACTGCCAGGCCTGGGGGTCTGCTGCTGATGGTATGACACCCGGAAAGTCTTTCTTCCTATTCTAAAACTGTATAGTGGGAAGGACAGTGTCTGCTTAGTAGGATCACAGTGAGTATGAGTGTGAGTCAAGAACTGAGTGTGGGGCTGTGGTGGTGTAGGCTGGCAATTCCAGCACTGGAGAGAGGCTGAAGCAGAAGGGTCTCAAATTCAAGGCCTTCCTGGGGACATAGAGAAACCGTCTTGAAACAGAAAAAAAAAAAAATAAAGATAACTCAATGCAGTGGCTGACACAAGTTTCCAATAATTGTTAGTTATCAAATCCAAATACTTCTGCTTACTAAATGTGCAGTCTTGGGCAAATGACTTCTCTGAAGCTCAGTTTAACCCCTGTAAAGTGAAAGGATTGAGTTAGATATCTTTAAGTTGCTTCCCCATGTCCTATTTCAAAACAGTTATTTCAAATGTTTGGTTGTGGGCCATTAATATGTATTAAAATCCCTTTAGATTTAAACTTTTTTTTTTTTTTTGTCTTTTTGATACAGGGTCTCCCTGTAGCCTCAGCTGTCCTCAAACTCACAAAGATCTGCCTGCCTCTGCCTCCCAAGTGCTGGGATTAAAGGCATGCGCCACCATGCCCGGCTAGATTTCAATTTTTAAAAAAATTTTATGTGTATGAGTGTATTACCTGCATGCACGTTAAGTGCACCTGTGTCATGCAATGCCCACATGTCAGAAGAGGGCATCAGATCTCCTGGAACTGGAGTTACAAATGGTTGTTAGCCACTATGTGGGTGCTGGGAACCGAACCTGGGTCCTCTACAAGAGCAGTCAGTGCTCTTAACTGTTGAGCTCTCTCTCCAGCCGCCCACTCCCTTAGATGATTTTTGACCAATATTGAAGGCTTATTGAAGGAACTTTTGTTTCCATTTTCGTGTTGTATACTCATGGAATGTGGAGTGTCTTTCATATTGTGAACTGAGGTAAAAGAGCCACACTGGAAATTTTATTTTTCAGGTAGAGTACTTTTTTAAATTGAGACAAGGTTTCCCTTTAGTCTCAGCTGGCCTGGAACTCACTATGATAGGGAGACCAGTCTGGCCTCAATCTCACAGATATCTGCCTGCCTCTGCCTCCCAAGTGCTGGGATTAAAGGATTAAAGGAATGGGCCACCACACCTAGCAAAATACTCTCTTCCTCCTTTATTCAGGGAGAAATACAGAGGATGCTGAGAAAGTTACAGATTTTCTGGTGATCTCTCTCCTTCACAGCTGGCTCAGGAGTGCCCAAGCAAGACTGGTAAAGTATATATAGTCCCAAGCATCCATCCATTCAAATTTCATTCAGAAATATTTTGGTCAACTACTCAATTTATTTGTGAAATAGACAGGCTTAGTTCTGCTACAAAGTAGCTCAAGGTTGTGAATTATTCCTCCTCTCACATCAGTCTCAGGTGAGGGGCCTAGCATATGGTAAACACTTAGCCAAGGTTTAACAAGATATACTCTTGCCTTTCCTTGGAAAGACTAAGACAAAGACACACTTTGACATCTTTCCTGCCAGCTCCATCATTGCTTTATGAAGCTGGATGAGCCAGGCATTGTCCTAAGCACATTATATAGTTCTTTCCATATGATGGTATGTCTGGTGTTCCTGTGGCCACATGTGAGCAGGTGCATTTGCCCATTCATGCACATGTTGGGGGGGCAGAGTTAAGGTTGGTGTCTGCTGCTTCTATCACTCCTTTTTTCTTTTTAGATTTTAAAAATGTGTTTGGTGACAGTGTCTTTATTGGCTGAACCATCTTGCTGGCCTGTTTTTTGTTGTTAGTGGTAGCAGTGCTTTGTTTTTGAGACAGGGTCTCATTATATAGTCCAGGCTGGCCTCCAACTTGAAATCTTGAGTTCTGGGATTACAGGCATATGCTACTACACTTGGCTGAGCACAAGTGCTTTTTAACTCTGCTTCTGTAGCTTGATAATATCCCATCAGCCAAAACAAGTTTCATGGACAAATCCAAATTCAAAAATACAGACTTTGCCTCTTTATTTTTTTATTATTTTCTTTTTGAGACAGGGTCTCCCTGTAGCCCCAGTTGGCCTGGAACTCATTATGTAGACCAGGCTGGACTTGAACTAACAGAGATCCCACTGCCTCTGCCGTGCCCCCCCCCCGTGCTGGGATTAAAGGTGTGTGGTGTGTGTCACCACACCCAGCTGCCTCTTAGAGAAACTATAAAATACTGCAGTTCCTCCACGTCCCCTCCAGTACACTGAATCCTTTTCTTTTGTCGTATGACTCTCAAATTTAATGACTTCAAATAAGAATCGACTTATCAGGGTTGGGGATTTAGCTCAGTGGTAGAGCGCTTACCTAGCAAGCACAAGGCCCTGGGTTTGGTCCTCAGCTCTGAGGGAAAAAAAAAAAAATTATCTCACAGTTTTTGTGAGTCAAGAATTGGGAGTGGCTTAGTTGAGTGGTTTCTGGCTTGGGGGTCTCTCTGGAGCTAGAAATCATCTGAGGGTCTGACGAGCTGGAGAATCCACTCACATGGGAGTGGGTCTGTGCAGCCTCTGGGTAGGAGGCCCAGAGGAGTTCCTTGCCCTGTGGACATTTGAGTACCTCCATGTTATGACAGCAGATGGCTGACACCAGAGCAGTGACCCAAGACAAGGCAAGGAAGAAGTCACATGCTGGGTATGCAGTAGCCCATGGTTCCACAAGTCAAACATGTTCATTCCAGGTATGGCAACTGCACCATACGGAGGTAGAGATCATTAGAGACTACATTAGAGGTTAGCTGACACACAGCTGCACATGGAGCACAGCACCAAAATTTCTTCTACTCATGGGTGGAACTGGTCATCTGGCTGTAAAGGAATTCTTTTTTTTACTGAAGGTTTTTGTTTTTAATACAATATAATCTGATGGTAGATTCTCTCCCCTATCTGCACCTCCCCTGACTGCCCCCACCCAATTTACTCTACTTTAAAAAAAATCCTCTGCAAGAGCAACCAGTGTTCGTAACCACTGTGCCATCTCTCCAGCCCTAATGTACTCTATAATGTACATATATATTCTATTCTGTTACAGCCTTTGGAGTCTGGTTAGCCTTCTAATCCCTAGAAGACTGTCTTCCCCCAGCAGTCATCAGTTGCCAGAAGTTCCTTAGGTTGGGTTGGGGTTCTTACCCACTCCCCTATGTCTATGCTGGGATTTGTCTGGTTTGAGTTTGCAAGGAACTTGTGTGGAGGAATTCTTGCATAACTTTGAAGCTGTTGCTGTTTTCTTCTGGTTTCAATACCGTGCCCTTCGGCTCTCTAGTTCTTTGTGTGGTGTTTCACATTTATTTTTGTCATTGCTGCTGCTGTGATAAACACCTTGACCAAAAGCAACTTGGAAAGTTTCTTTCATCTTAACACTTCCAAGTGACAGCCCATCACTAAGCGACTCAGGGCAGGAACTGAAGCAGAGACCATGGAGCTGCTTGCTGGCTTGCTCCCAGCCCCATGGTCAGCTACTTTTCTTATACAGCCCAGGCCCACCAGCTTAGGATGACATCGCCCACAGTGGCTGGGCCCTCATACTAATTAGCAATCAAGAGAATGTCCCACAGACATGCCAAGGCCAATCTGATGGAGGAAGTTCTTCAGTTGAGGTTCCCTCTTCCTTCATCACCTGTGGGATCCCCCCCACTTCTGGAAGCGTTTAAGACTCTTTTGGTCCCTGACATCTTGAAGTGTAATGTTATGCTCTGCTATGGCTCTTTGTCATTCGTTGGGCTGGACAGGTGACAGGCCTTTCTGACATGGGATCCCCAGGACAGAGTGCAGAGGAGCAGGTTAAGACATGAGCTCGTGTGTACACAAGGCACTTTGCTAGGCAGACATGTCTAAGTCAAGGAAGAGGAGGAAGGTTAGGCTGGGGCCCTACCTTCCCACTTCTAGCACCTTCTAGTGAAGAGGTCAGAAACAGAGGTGTCACCTGTAGGTCATTGTGAAGGTTCTTGTTGCCACAGAAGCTGAATGGACTGGGGTTTATTTGATGGTCACTCCTTAAGTCTGCTTCCACCTGTTCTATTGCACTGGCTACACAAATATTAGCCAAGGCCTGCTAGGCACACTGCTGAGCTACTTAAGGCCCTCAATTTGTCTTCTATACAGTGCACTATACAGGCATAGTGCATACCTGTAATCCCAGCACTCAGAGAAGCTGAGGCAGGATGATCTCTGAGTTCCAGGCCAACCTGGGCTATGAAGTAGGGGGCTGGAGAGATGGCTCAGTGGTTAAGAGCACTGGCTGTTCTTGTATAGGTACCAGGTTCGAATTCCAGCACCTACGTGGCCGCTAACAACCGTCTGTAACTCCAGTTCCAGAGGATCCGATGCCTTCTTCTATCCTTCACCAGCACTGTACGACACAGATACACAGGTGCACTTATACACATGTACGCATGACACTCATACATAAAATAAAAAAAGAGTAGAAGCTGGAGAGATGGCTCAGCAGGTAAGAGCATGTACTGATGTTCTAGAAGATCAGAGTTCAGTTCCCAGCAACCACATTAGGCACCTCACAACTGCCTATAACTCCAGCTCCTGGGGATCCAACACCTCTGGCTTCAACAGGCATCTGCACTGAGGTGCACATACCCACACTCAAAACACACATAATTAAAGATGCCCTATTTGAGTTGTAGAGCAGTGAGAGACCCTGCCTGTCAAAAAAAAAGAAAAAGGTATAGAGTGCCTGAGGAACAACAGCCAAGGCTCTGGTCTCCAAATGCACTTGATATGCATGCACACCTGCACACAGGAGCACACAGAATCAACAGAAGTCGTAATAGTAAGAGCACCTATGTTGTAGAGTGTTACTATGACGGTATGTGAGGTAGTATGCAAGAAGGGATGGCACACCTGCTTCACAGGAAAAGGCGTTTTTTCAGTGACTGTCACCATCAGCTCAGAGCATGTCAGGCTACCACTCCCGTCTGTGTGGATGAGAAACTACAGTGGATAACTCAGTTTGAAAGGGAGCTGGTAAGGATACAGCACCGCCTAGCTGTATTTGTGATTTAGCTTTGTGCCTTTCCTTCCTTTCCACACCAATCTCTCCTGTCTTGTAGGACTGATTGTCTAGGAAATGTCTAGGAAAAATGGAAATTTTAACTTTATTTTTATTTTATGTATATGTGTGTATTGCCTGCATGTAGGTAAGTGCACCTGTATCATGCTATGCCCACAGAGGTCAGAAGAGAGTGTTGGATCCCCTGGGACTGGAGTTAAGGACAGTTGTTAGCTGCCATGTGGGTGCTGGGATTCGAACCCGGGTCTTCTGTAAGAACAACCAGTGTTCTTAACTACTGAGCCATCTCTCCAGCCCCGCTTGGAAAAATGGAAATTTCATTAGATTATTGTTAATTTATAGGGGGTGGGGTGCCACAGTACACATGTGGATTCAAAGGAAACTTGTGGAAGTCTGTTCCCTCCTTCTACCATGTGAGTCACAATGACCAACCTCAGGCCATCAGCAGGCACCTTTATCTGCTGAGCCATCTCACCAGCCTAATTCTCAAGGACTTCAGGAACCCTGGGCAGGTAGGAAAAGCTTCCAAGTATTTTCTTTCTCCCATTCTCAGTAAACATTTCTCATCCATCAGGACTGCTGATTTGCGTTCATCTCTCTCTTCTGTCTCAGTGAAGCAGGAAGGCAGGAACTGTTAAGAGGGTTTTGTTACTTTTGAGTGATTCTTTGTGGCAAATTTGGGGTACAGCAATAACAGCAGCCAAGACAAGCAGCACTTCTGTGTGCCTGAGGGCTGAGATTATTTTTTATATTTTTATCATTGCAGGTGTCCCTGCAATTTGTTGTTTTAGCTTTTTGAAATGGGATCCCACTCTGTGGCCACACCTGCTCACGCATGCTCATGGAGGCCAGAGGCCATCAGGTGTCCTGCTCTACATGCTCTACCTTACTCCCTTGGTACAGGGTCTCTCACTGAACCTGGAGCTAGACTGGCTACCAGCAGACCCCAGTAACCCTGTCTCTGCCCACCAGTGCTGAGGTGATTATATATATTTATATAAGAATATATTATTTATATTTTTTTTTTTTTTTCCCCCCACCTTGGAGACAGGGTCTCACTATGTAGACCAGGCTGACCTCAATCTAAACAGCTATCTGCCTGCCTCTGCCTCCCAAGTGCTTACATGAAAGTCTCTAAGGGCAAGGGCCACATATGTCTTAATCAGTGATGGGTACATAGGTATCTGACCATGTGTGAGCTTCCTAGTCCTACCCCCTGGTTCTGCAAGCCAAGAGCTATGGCACTATCTATGGTAAATTTCCTGGAGCAGTAACTTCTCAGAGGTTTTTTTTTTTTTGAGATAGGGTCTCGTGTAGCCCAGACTGGCCTCAACTCATGATCTTCTCTCCTCTCTCTCTTTCTCTCCACCTCTGAACATGCTTGAGAATAGGGTGATTATATGAAACTTGGGTGCCTATAACTTGAAGAATATTGAGGGGGTGGGTATCACAAAAAGGTAAATCCAAAGGTCTAGAGATGAGCTATTTCTCCACTTAGTTAAGGAGATTCACAAGGAAGGGAAACCCTGAGGTGAGGGGGCCTCTGCAAGGAGCAAAACCACAGAGGGGATTCTGCCAGCCATCAGTTCCATGCAGCAGACACAAGAAAACTCTCAGCAGGGACCTTGGCCTAGGCACCCTTTGCAGTAAACACTGGCTTTGCTTCAAAAGCCCAACTGGCTATGTGTGTTTGTGCCTGAGATGGTACATGTCATGAGACCATGTGCCTTGGAGTCGGGCAAATACAGAGCACTATTGCCCAAGACTGATTCTGTGACCTCAGGCCAGTTCCTAACCTCTCTGTATATTTGCACCTATAACTCCAGTGCGGGGGTGGAGGAGGGGGTATAGACAGGATCGCTGGAGCTTGCTGGCTGTCAGTCTAGCTCCAGGTTCAGTGACAGACCCTGTGCCAAGAGAATAAAATGGAGAATATAGAGAGCAGGACACTGTATGTCCTGGCCTCCGTGAGCATGCGCAAATGTGTACACTAGCATACACATGTGCTCATACAGAACACACATGAGGACAATAAGTGGATATCTGTGAGCTAAGTGTGCTGACCCGGGCCTGTAATCCCAGCTCTAGAAAGGGGAAGTAGAATTCTCTGTTCCTGTTTTCTTCTAAAATGGAACGAGGCGTGATGGTACATGCTTGTAATCTCAGCATTTGTGAGCCTGAGAAAGAAGGATCACTCAATGTTCAAGATCAACCTGGGCTCTATAGTGAGTTCAAGGCCAGTTTGGACTACATAGAGACACTTTGTCTCACCCTCCCACCCCCATAATTTTATAAATTATAAAAATAAAATAAGACTCGACCACCTAGATTGCAAGATCCTGTGAGAACTGACAGCATCAGAGTAGAAAGGTGCCTGGCACCTAGCAGTTGTATCATCAGTAAGATCACATTAGTCCTCCCCAACTATGAATGCCACACTTACCTGTGTGTTACTTTGCATCCCAGGTCTAAAACAGGTCATGGATCAATCAGCAAAAAATAAGGAGCAAAGAACAAATTCCAGGTATAATCTGCCAGAAAATATACTGTTCCATAATTAACTTTGATATAATTCTCTAACACTGAGAACTAGACCTAGTAAAGCAATGGGGGGTTGGGGATATCTAGACTACATTTCAAAAATGCCCTCTTTAGGAAAGCAGGACTAACAGAACTGTGTTTCTGTGAGCTACAGTTTTGACGTAAGGTCCAACACACTGAATATAGGAAGCCAAACCCTTGGTTGCTCTAGCAACCCCTCAGCTCAGCCAGGGCCAACACATCAAATTCTTACCAGGTCTGCTAAGAGCTTTCTGTACTGTTGTTTATGATCACAGGACACAATGGAGGATAAGAAGACATACCAGGGCCCTCCACACCTCGGGGAACAACTAAGAGTTGGAAGGGCTCGAACTTTGCAGTTGGAGAACCTGAGATTCAAATCCTTTTCTGCCCCTTCAAGCTATTCAGCTTGGCTATATTACCTCATCTTTGAGCCACAGACCCTAACTGTACAATGTTACTAGCTCAGCCTCAGGCCTTCTAAGTATTACAAGGGACAGTGTCAGTCCCCAACAAGCACTCCTTACATCTGAGTCCCCTCCTTTTGCTGTCCAGGTTCTGTCTCTGAAGCTCCCCTTCCCTTCCTGGTCCTTCTATGCTCTTGGCAGAAACCCCAAATCCTTTAAGGCCAGGCCCCAAGACTAAGGAAACAGACATCGTATGATCAATCTCTATTCCCCAACAAAAAAAGGGCTCAGTAGGTAGAATTTTTTGCTTTTTATTTGGACATGGGATTTTCCATTTTGTATAACTTATCTAATTAAAATATTCATCTTGTAGTTACCACAAAAAAGTAACATAGAAAACTGTATTTACATTTTGGGACCAAAATACAAATGAAGAGCAGGACAATGCTTGTTCCTGCCCCTGCCTCCAAAAGAGAAGAAAGCCCCAGAGAACCCCTCGTTAGACCAAGGATTACAAAGGGCTAATCTGATTTGGTGATTTGTATGTAGTGTAGCACAGAAAAAATTGCACAGGTTTTCACAAATGCAACCAAAAGTTGAACATCATTGTGTGTCCGCTTTGCAGCCATTTCACAGCTGGTGAGGAGTTTGTGGAGACATTCAGCTTTCTCGGCTCCCTTACCCTTCTCACTAATCACATCCCTGATGCAGACACTTGTGGAGGGGGACAGAGGAAGATCTGGCTCTATACAAACAGGTTCATCACAAATTTTTATGTGCCCAAACAGGATACTAACACTGGGATGAACAAATGTGTCCTTTCTTCCCCTCCCACCTAAGGACCTAATAAGGAGACCTAAGTCGTACACAACTGAATCTGCAATATGAAAAACTGCTTAAATGGCAAAGTCTTAGAAACATAGCTAAGGCATAAGTCCCAGGTGGTGGACACCTAGAGGCAACAGGTACCTGGCTCCTGATGCGACTGTCCACTTGATTTCAGGTAAGAGGCTTTCTGATGTTAGATTTGGGGGTCAGGCTAAGAGATAGAGGTGGTAAGGTGAAACAAGCAATCAAGAGAAACAGTGCTTTACCCAATTTAAAAAATACAGCAAATTAAAACTCAGCAACACCATGTCTGTCCTGTGGCAACAGGCATCCCACCCAGCAAGGCATGGTAAGGTCTGCCGAGCTTCAGCTGTTGTGAGCTCCCTGTACTGCCCGAGTCTTCAACATTAGCCTAACTGAAGTCTCCAGGATGGTTAAAACAGTGTGGGCAGGACCAATGGCTCAGCTTAGCAGGCTGTCTGTCTGTCATCCCCTCTGTCTGCTCTATTGGTTTCTTAAGGATGCACATCTCGAGTTCGTACATCTTTCCACCTGGCTCATAAGCAGGTGGGTCCTACCAGCTCCATGTTCTTTGACAGCCCGGAGGAGCTGGCACTACTCTCTAGTTCTGATCTTGCCCACATGTCAACTGGAAAGCAAGAGTCTACCTTCAAGAACTGGATGGCTGGCTGGAGCAAGGTTCCCCCATCATGACGCAGAACTCAGCCCCTTCCCAAGGTGGCCCTTTCCTCCTAACTCTGTCCTACACATTCAGAAGGTAGAGGGCTTTTGCTGCAAGTTCTCTGCCAGACACAGCAGCCTGCTGTGCTCTTCCAGTCACATAATCTTTCCTTTCAAACAAAAGGCAAAAACAAAAGCAATTTCTAACAGAACACTACAACTTTAAAAATCACTCACTCCTAGTAGTATTTTATAGGGAACAGGAGATCAAAGTGCTGGCACATTCAGAGCTGTCACATGCAGAGCTCTAAAAAGCCCTGCCATTGTTTCCCCCATGGTGGTGAGAAGGAAAGATAAGGTGGGGGGAGGGGTGGCATCTAATATATTGAACCAGAAAGGAGAAATTATAAAATTGCTGAGGTCCTATGCAAACTGATCTCTCAAGGTTCTGTCCTCTAGTTAGCCTTTCAAACGGGAGAGGAGTGTTGGCTTGCAGAGAGGAAGGGCTCTAGACTTCACAAATAGCCCCCTAATAAATACTTTTAAGGAGAAGAAAGAGATGCCTCTGCCCAGCAACTCTGGGATCTCAGAGTGGGACCCCCTGAACAGTTGCCATGTGGGGCTCCCCTCGAGGATGGGCAGTCTGGCACTCATTCCTGGCACTCCCTACTCTGGAGCACCACACAGGCTCCGGGATGCACTTCTGGATCAGAGTTTACTCAGAAGAACTAACCTTGGAGAGGAATAGCTTTTTTTAAGCTTTCATCTAACAAAGGACCTGAAAAGTAAAAGGCTAAGTATGCAATAGAGGACTAAAAAAAAGAAAAGAAAAAGAAAAAAACCTGGGGGGAGGGTAGTATAAATACAATCTGGGGGCAATATTTATTAATTAAAACTATGTCCTATAGTTTACAAAGATGCTAATTAGCAACAAAAGTATAATTGACCTTAAAGACCTCAGAGAGACTGAGGCTTCATGTCACCTTCAGAATCTGAAACGTGCTCCTTGGCAGGGAGTGGGCCGAGGTGTGCAGGGAGACACCTACCTGCAACTGTGCAGGTATCAGAGACCAAATGGTTCCACAAAACAAAAGATGCAGATCTCCTTTGGAAATCCTTTCCCCCTGCCCCCACTGTCCCTGTATTCCTGCTCCCCAAATTCCACCTTCAAGGCAATCCTTAGTTTATCGTCGGGAGAATCTGTTCTTGAATGCTTTAATTGTCTTGGCCATCATTGGGGCAATTTCTGTGGAGAGAAACAAGGCATTTGTTTTAAAGCAGTGGCAGCTCAGTCACACACCACTGTGGTTTACAGCAAAAGCCAGGCTGGGCTTTGCACCTCCACACAAATGGACACAAGCAGGAACTATCTGCTAACACTGCAATGGAGACCGCAGCATGAGGCAGTTACTTGCTGAAGCCCTGCAGGTGCAGAACTACCATCATGACACTGCAGCTCCTGAAGATTGGCCGGTGTGCTTATGGGTGGGTATAAGTGAAAAATCAGAAGACCCTGCTGACTCTAAGGGCCATAATCCCCACAATTCAACTCTGCAACAGAAACATCCAAGTACCCAGACCCCCAACTGCCCAATTAACAACAGGACTCAGGTGAGCTAAGCAAAAGCCACTTAAGGGAGCTGGAGGGACAGCTCGGAAGTTAATAGCGCTGGCTGTTCTTCCAGGGGTCCTGGGCTTGATTCCCAGCACACACACAGCAGCTAACAGCTGTCTGTAACTCCAGTTCCAGGGGATCCAATGCCCTCTTCTGTCCTCCTCAGGCACTGCATGACACAGGTACACTAACACATGCAGGCAATACACTCATACAATAAAAATAAATCAAAAAAATTTAAAATAAAAAATTGAAAAAATTAAATGTATTGCTGGGCATGGTAGTGCACACCTTTAATCCCAGCATGAGGGAGGCAGAGGCAGGTGGATTTCTGTTAATTCAAGGCCAGCCTGGTCTACATAGTGAGTTCCAGGACAGTTGGGGCTACAGGGAGACCTTGTGTCAAAAAGACCAAAAAAAAAATAATAATAACAATAAATAAATAAATAAATAAATAAATAAATAAATGTATTAAAGCAACAACACCACCACTGCCTAAGGAGGGCCATTCTGCCCTTGGTTGACTGACCTAGACCCAGTTGACACCTGTGCCAGGATCTCACCCTCCCATCGCCCTGCCTGCACCGAAGTTACTTACTCTTCACAGCTGGTTTCCTGGGATCATAGGAAACAGCACTGCTGACCACTGGAGCTAAGTGGGCACTACTGGTGCTGGGGCCATCGTAGGCCAGCTCCTCAGGGCTGGAGTGAAAGCTGCTGCTGCCACTGCTGGTGGGAACATGGCTACTTCCTGTGGTATATGGGGCTGGCTTAATCCTGCAACAAAACAACGCTGGTTAGCCAGGAGCACAGAATCTGTCCTCCACATCAACAGCAGAGCTGTTTGTGGCTAGGTGACTCTGCTGTGGCTCTGAGCAATGGGCACACTGGGTTCTGGGAGAGGCCTAGAAGCAACTGTCAACCCTTCGGTGAGAGTGACATCTCAGCTAAACTTCAGCTGTTGAAGTGTCAGTCTACACTTTGAAAGTGCTCATGTGGCCTAGAAGAAATCCAGTCATCCCAGAAACAGGTTATTTTTGTTGGTATGGTGGTGGTGATGGTGATGATGATGGTAGTGATAGGGTATGTGTGTATACAAAGATATGCATGCACATGTGGATGCATGTGTATAGAGGCCAGAAGTCAACCTTGGGTGTCATTCCTCAGGAGTCACCTTGATTTTTGCAACAAAATCTCATTAGGACCCAGAGCTCACCAAGCAGGCTGGCCAATGATCCACCTCCCCAGCACTGAGGTCACAAGCACACACTGCCACATCCAGCTTTTTTTACATGGATGCTAAGGATCAAACTCAGGTCCTCATGCTTCATGACAGTGACTTTACTAACTGGGCTCTCTCCTCAGCTCCAGAAACATGTTTGTCTAAATGGGAAAGCACAAGGAAGCATTTCCTTGAGCCAGGTGTTGCTTGCCACTTAACTGACCTGCCACTTAACTGACCCCAACCAAGAGACAGTAATAATCTACCCAAATGCCAAGCCAGGAACTGAGGCTTAGAGAGGTAAAGTGCTATGCTGATCAAGGTCTGCACTCCAGAGCACACACTCTATACCGATTGCCTCCGCGCTCCCAAAATGAATCATTTCCTGCCCCCCGGGTCTCCTTCAGGGTAATGACCAAGCAGGGGCAGACATCTTGCCTGACTTTCTCAGGGACAGCTGCTCCTCCAGTTCCAAACTTTTCCTGCCTCCTTCGGACATCACGGGGTGGCTTGGCCACAGAGTTGACAAAGGCCATTTTTGCTTGTCGTCCTGAGGAAAGATATGGACATTAACATTTGCCTTTCTTGTGCACAGCTGCTACTGCCAATTTAATAGTCTGTAGGCTTTTTAATGTGTCCCAAACTAAGGGATTATCAGCCCTGATAGCCCTACTGTCAGGGAACATAGCTTGTGACAAAGAATACCACCCCTGCCCATCTGCAAAGGCAAGTGATATCTAGAGACCAGTGGTTCTGCACCCACCTGGCTGCCCTTGCCTGGCTCCCACTTCCTTTACCTTTTGGTTTATTGGCATGTGCAGACCGGATATTGTTTGTCAACAGACGCAGCCGCTGCTCTCGGGCATCCTGAAGCCGCAGGTACATCTCCCGCCATGATTCATACTCTTCTGGTCTTTCTTCCTTAAAGTCTCGGTGACAATGAATTTTCCATAATTGATCTGTTTCTTCAATTAATACCTGCAATCAGGAACGACATGACTTCTATACAAGCACTCTCACATATCTCCTACCTACTCATGATTAGTTGCCTAATAATAGATATTTTTGGTCTACAAAGTGGTATTAAATTAAAATACCAAAATTCTATGAAAAAGGCAAATTAAAAAACAAAACGAAGGGGCTGGAGAGATGGCTCAGTGGTTAAGAGCACTGACTGCTCTTGCAAAGGACCCGGGTTTGATTCCCAGCACCCACATGGTGGCTACAAACCGTCCTTAACTCCAGTTCCAGCGGAATCTGAAGCCCTCTTCTGAACTCCGCGGCATTGCACATGGGTGCACTCATACATGCAGGCAGTACACTCATACACATAAAATAAAAATAAATAAAATATTTAAAAAACAAAACAAAACCAGAAACAGTTATATGAGAGGTACAATGTTAACTGTTCTTAAGTAGCTTTGAGTGGCGCTCACAGAGAAGGTAGTTAACATCAGTCTTTTCCTTGCTAATATCAGTAAGGGATAAAGTCAAGTCCTACAATGAACTGCCCTGGTAAGAGGGCTGGCTACCTGAGGTGCACACACAGAAAGAGAGCTAAAATGATCAGATGAATGTATTTGCAAGATTTTGGAAGGTCTCAATATCTCTAAGAACTATGCATCCAGACTGTGCCATCATTCACGAGACACAAGGATCAATACTAAAAACAGATCCTCCCTGAATCCCAGATGCTTTGCTGCCAGAATTTTCCCATTATGACTAGGCAAGCTCAAAGGAGGCCCTGAAAGTGCTCCTTCTTGACTTTGAATCCCAGGATCTGCTTAAATCCCAGGAGGGGGCCGGCAAGATGGCTCAGCCAATAAAGTCACTTACTGTATAAGCATGGTGACCTGAGCTCAATCCCTGGAACACACATAAGGTGAAAGGAAAAATGCCTCCACAAGCTGTCCTCTGACCTCCACATGAATGCCCATCAAGACATACACATAGCAATAAATTTTAAAAAAAGGGCAGGCATGATTGTGTGCACCTTATGTCTATAGTGAGTTCCAGGCCAGCTATGCAGGGCTACATAGTGAGACCCTGTCTCAAAAACAAAATCCTAAGAGCAGGTCTTAAAAATATACTTGTTTATCTGGATGTAATCCCAGCACTCGGGAGGCAGGAGCAGGCAGATCTCTGTGAGTTCAAGGCCAACCTGGTCTACAAAGTGAGTTCCAGGCCAGCTGGGGCTATAGGGAGATCCTGTCTCAAAAAGTCAAAAAAAAAAAAGTACACACACACACACACACACACACACACACACACACACAGTTTAAAGGCCCAGAGGCAACCTATACACACCCAGAACAGTGGTCTGACCTCTGATCTGCCCTTTAGCCACAGCAGACTCACAGACAAAGCTACTTCTGGGGACAGCCAGAAAGCTGCCCTATTCCACCAAGATAGGACACTCACGTGATTGCACTCCTCTATGCGGTACAGCTGATCAGGTGTACACCTCTCTAAGACAGGTTCAAGAAGAGAGTAGGGGACACCTCCCACTTCATAGATTGCTGCAGATAAACCAGAGGTCAGAGTGTTGACTAGCAGCCAAGCTACCCAGTAACAAAGTACACAAGAGAAGCTGGCGACTCACAATCAATATTGTTTTTAAGTACACGGATGCACTGCTGGTGCAAGGTCATCATTTTAGGAAGATAGGCACACTTGGAACCGGAATACACTTGCATCTTAGAATTCATTCTGCGTCCTGTGAATCCAGCTTCTTCTTCTTCCTGGGGTGAAGAGAATGCTACAGGGAGAGAAAAAACAGAAAGTCACAAAAGGTTTCCACTTCATGGTGAAGACTCTTCTACCCTGTCCTCACCCTCACTTTCCCTTCCTCAAACACAACAATACTACCTACTTTTTGTGGATTCTTCTAGAGTCTTCCCAAAATAAGCAAATGTAAACTGTATTCCCTTTTAAACCAAGTAATAACATATTCAATATATATATATATCACTTTTTTCATTAACTACATTTTTTAAGTTTTTTTGTTTCTCTTTGAAACAAGGTCTCATGTAGCCTACCAGGCTAAATCCTCCTACCTCCTCCTCCTCCCAAGTGTTGGGGATTACACACAAGTCTCCAGCCTCATTTACCACATTTTAGAGAGCATTCTATGCTAGTATATTATTCAACATTTTGTTTTGTCTACTGACAGGGTCTCACCATACTGCCCTGGCCGGCCTGAAGCTCACCATGTAAACCAGGCTGGCCTTGAATTCAGATATTTGCCCGCTTCTGCCTCCCCAGTGCTGGAATTAAGGGGGTATACCAACTTGCCTAGCAGCTTTCCACATTGTTTTACAGTGGTGTTATTGGCCACCATGTAGATGAGCCATGATTTCTCTGCTTGTCTCGTTCTAACAGGCATGTTTGTGGCTTTTCATTCTTTTGCTACCAAAACTAGACTTTTTTGTAAATTAAAAAAAGAAATTTTGCCGGGCATGGTGGCACATGCCTTTAATCCCAGCACTCGGGAAGCAGAGGCATGCGGATCTCTGCAAGTTCAAGGCCAGCCTGGTCTACATAGTGAGTTCCAGGACAGCTGGGGCTATAGGGAGACCCTGTCTCAAAAAGACCAAAAAGAAAAAGAGAAATTTTAGCTGGACATGGTGGCGCACTCCTTTAGTCCCAGTACTCAGGAGGCAGAGGCAAGCAGATCTCTGTGAGTTCAAGGCCAGTCTGGTCTACATAGCAAGTTCTAGGCCAACTGGGGCTGCAGGGAGACCCTGTCTCAAAAAGACAAAAAAAAGAAAAAAAAAAACAAAAAACATTTATCTGGGGTGAATGTGTGCATACCATGGCACACATGTGGAGCTCAGAGGACAACTGGCAGGAGTTGGTTCTCTCCTTCCATCATGTAGGTCCTGGGGATAGAACCCAGGTCATCAGGCTTGGTGGTAACCCCTTTAACTCACCCCACTAAGCTATTTTGCTTTCCTTTGCCTAACCTGCTTTTCCTTGCCCTTCCCCCCTTCTTTCCTTGCTTTCTTCCTCCTTTTTCTATCTTTTTCTTTTGACACAGATTCTCATCCTGCCTCTGCATCCCAAGTTCTGGAATGACAGGCATGGGCCACCACAAACAGCTAGACATTTTTCCTTTAGGACAAAAATTACATAATAACACGGCCAGCCATGGTAGACCATGCCTTTAATCCCAGCACTTGGGAAACAGAATCAGGCAAATCTCTGTGCATTCCAGGCCATCCAGGGCTACAGGGAGACACTGTCTCAAAAAGACCAAAAAAAAAAAGCCGTTGACAACAGCAACAGCTAAGATTTACTGAGTGAATGAATGTTTACTATGTAGTAAACCTGGACTCAGTTTTATCAGCACAAATACTTTTGAATCAATGAGTTAAACACCATTATTATTCTCATTTATAGATTATGAAACTGAGATCCAAAGAAAGTAAGACATTAGCCAAGGTCATATAACTTGCAAAAACCAGTACTGGGATTCAATCCAAGCCATCAAACTGCATACCCTATGTGCTTAGGAAATGCCCCAAACTGGATGTTACATTAACTAGTAATAGTGATTGATCATGAAGGGGAATTTTCAAATCTTCTTCCATTAAAAAAAAGAAGAAAAGAAAAAAGTTCAGGGGCTGGAGAGATGGCTCAGTGTTAAGAGCAATGGCAGCTCTTGAAGAGGACCTGGGTGTGATTCCTAGAACCCACATGGTGGTTAACAACCATCTGTAACTCCAGTTCCATGGATTCAGTGCCCTCTTCTGACCTCCGAAGGCACTGCACAACATAGGTACACTTACATACATGAAGGCAGTACACGCTGACATATAAAAAAAAAATAAGGTTTTTTTTTTTTGTCTCTTTGAGACAGTCTCCCAGCTGGCCTGGATTCACTATAGAGAACAGGTTGGCCTTGAGCTCACAGAGATCTGCCTACCTCTGCCTCCCAGTGCTGGGACTAAGGCATGCGCCACCACGCCTAGCTAAAAATACATATATATATATTTTTTTAAAAAGTCCAAAATTACCTTTTCGCTTTGGCTGGAAGGAGGAAATCAATTCAAGGGAAGGAAGTGGACGATAGTTGGTTTGTATCGTGGGTAAGGGGATGTCCGGCAACACTGGCAACACATCAGCGGGGACCTGCAAGAGACGAGTGTGCAGAGCCCATTCTGCAAGCACAGCTTTCTTTTTCTTGGGGTCAATCCCTAAGAGCATTAACCAAGCGTACTTCAGATAGATCCAGGCTAGAGGGGGACAGAAGTCATAAAACACTATCTAGGTCAAGAAATAGATGCAGATTAAAAAATTAATAATGGGACCCTTGGAAAAAAAAATTTTTTTTTTTGAGGTGCTCAGAAGCAAATCTAGGGCCCTTGCATGCACACTGGGAAGCACTGTACTACTACTAAGCTATATCCTTAGCCCAGAAAAATTATCTTGGGCACCATCTACCCTAGCAGCTAGTGAGGCCTGGAGAAAATGACTATAAGCTGAAATTCAGCAGACCACACACCAGCAAGCTAAGGAGAAGCGGGACAGGCTGGCTTGTGCACTCAGGGCCAGATGCTCCAAGTGGGTTGTAAAGGGTTACCTTTCGAGGCCTGGTAGGATTGGCTCCAGCTGGCGGTGGCTTTTCTGACTTGTTTTCATTCACCTTGGGTAATTTTTGAACTGAGTTCAAGTTTTTACTAGTGCTTTTAGAATCCTTTTTTTTAAGTCCCTTTTCTCCAAGTGCTGTGGCTGAAGTTTTCACAACCTTCTTCTTTTTCTTCCGAGGTTGGTCATAGCTGAGGTATGACTCAAACGACATGGTGGGCTGCTCGAACTCGTCATCCACATCCGTCTCCTCTACTTTAGGGAGCGAGCCCTGAGGCTTTCTGTCAGAGTTAGTTCTTACTTTCCCCTCCTGAGCCTTCAGGTTGTTAGAAACTTTCTCTTTCGCTTTGGGCAACAGGTCTCCTGCCCTTTTTCCTAAGTCTAAGCCATCCACACTTTGCCTGTTTTTGTCTGATTTGATTTTCTCAGAGTCCTTATGTTTGGGCTTTTTAAGGTGGTTGTCTGAAGCAACCTCCAAGACGGGTGAAAACTTCTTCTTGAGACTACTGCCTTCTCTTTCCTTCTCTTTCTTGACAGCAGTAGAGGGCGGCTTCTCCTTGGCACTGTCCCCTGAGAGTGGCCTTCGGTTTTCCTCCTTAGAGGCCCTGTGTGATTTCTCTCTGCCTGAGGCAGAGGCCTTCTCATCAGCCCTGGCATCCACAGGGCGTTTCTCCTTGTGGGAAGATTTGTGCTCCTTGTTTTGGCTCACAGCCCCTTTTCCCTGGGGTTCACCCAGGTGTCGATTCTGACTGACTCCCAGTCTGTCCTGAAAGGCATTACTGTGGCCTCTTCCAGGTTTCTGGTGTGAAACAATGGGTTCGTGGTCTTCATCTGGTGACCTGTAGTGGTCTGTGTATGTCTGATGAGGACTGGAAGATGGTGGGGACTGAACATGGCCGTAGTCAGAAGACTCGGGGTCTGAAGAGTATGAAGGTGACACTCTGTGACACTTCTTCCTCTCATCTCTCCTCTCATGACTGTGAGACACTTTATGAGGCCTTTCAGGCTCCAAGAGTTTTCTGTGTTTTTTCTGTCTGTGGTCAGGGCTGTAGGACTGACTGCCAGAAGCTTTCCAGCTTTCTTGGTAGTCCCCGTCTAGCTCCTCCTCCCTCTGAAGAGAATCTCGAGGGCGCTTACGGGAATTGCTCTTCTCAAAGTCCTGGTCATCAGTCTCATTGTTTCTAAAATAAAATAAAAACCAGAAACAAATCTCAGTGTGAGCCTCTTCAGACAACAAAGTTACAGGCCTTGAACTCACAAAGACATGAAGACGCACAGTTAGAAACAATAAAACCAGAGCCAGGAGCAGGGGCACATACCTAATTCCAGCACTCAGGAGGCAAAGTTAGGAAGACTGGCTCAAGTTCCAGGCCAACCTGGTCTACCTAATGAGTTCCAGGCCAGCCAGGGCTACATAGTGAGACCTTGCCTCAAAAAAAGAAACAAGATCACAGAAAATAAGTAGGCAATGCTTAAAGATACTCAGTCAAGGAGCTGGAGAAACAACTCAGCAGTTAAGAGCACTTGTTGCTCGTGCAGAGGGTCCAGGGGTTCAGTTCCCATCACTTACATGGTGGCTAATAACCTCTATAACTCCAGTTCTAGGAAATTCGATGCCCTCTTCTGGAATCTATGGATACTGTACACATGTGGTGCACTTACATGCAGGCAAACCACTCCTACAAATAAAATAAATTTTTTAGATATTTTTATTTTATGTGTATGAATGTATTGCCTACATGCATGTAAGTGCATCCATGTGGTGCAAAGCCCAAAGAGGTCAGAAGGCATCAGATCCCCTGAAACTGGAGTTAGATTATAACCATAATGTGGGTACTGGGAACCGAACCAAGGTCCTCTGCAAGTATAGCCAATGCTCTTAACCACTGAGTCATCGCTCCAACTCCCATAAAATAAAAAATTTTAAATAAAAAAAAATAAAGAATTGTAAGAAGAACAATTTCAATTATTTATTTATTTGGGGGAGGGAGACATACCACAGCATGTTAAGAAAAGGCCAACTTTTGGGAGATGATTCTTTCCTTCCACCACGTGAGTTCCAGGGATTGAACTAGGTTGTCAGGCTTGGCAACAAAGTGCCTTTATCCACTGAGCCATCTTGCTGGCCCCCTTAGAAATTCTGATTCTTAAGAATTTACAATATTCCATACTAATTACAGATTATCTTTATAATTGAGGCAACAGATATTTTAATAACAAAGAAGAAAGAAACCATGAAGCTGAACAAAGCGGAAGAGAAATGTTCTCACCGTTCCACAGGAACCAGCTTCTTCCACTGGGCCACCAGGTCTCTGGCAAAGTTTCCCACTTGCTCATGTTTTCGAAAACTGTTTACTGTTTTCCCTACCCCAGTCTCCTACAAATTTAACAAAGGAATTGATTGAGGATTCTGGAACTAAGCTCACATTTTTCTATAAAAATAGGCCTTTTTTTTTTTTTCTAAAAAAGCAACATGCAAATACATTCTTACTAAAACATATCTTGCAAGCCTTAAAACTAAGTTACTTTGTTACCTATGCCAAAATATCTATGGAGACAAAGTAATAAAGCATAGAGGTTTAGAGAAAGATACTACTGAAACACCCCAGAACCTTAACAATGTAACAAGGAGGGCAGGTGTTAAGCACAGAGCTAAAGATATTGCATACCACATCTGAGCCTTCTAATCTTTGAAGGAGGAATCAGCCTCACTGTGTGCAGAGATACAGCCTATAGCCATAGAGTTGGATTTTGAGACAGGGTCTTACTATGTAGCCTTGGCTGGCCTCAAACCCAGAGATCTGCCTGCTTCTGCCTCTCAAATGCTGGAATTAACGGCATACACCACACCTGGCTATAAGTTGTACTTGAATCTTGGGTTGGTAAATGCCAATGTTCTTTCATTTACTTAAATTTTGAACTAAAATTGACACAGTAGGGTTAGGAGTGGAGCTCAGTTGTAGGGTACTTGCTTAGTATACACAAGTACCCTGAGCTTGTTCCTTAATACCCTCCTCTAAGAAGAGCACATAACATAAAATTCACCATCCTAAAGTATATAGTAATTTCTAGAACACTCCTAATACTGTGCAACCACTACCACTATCTAACTCCAGTCCCCCAACAACAACTACCACCTGTCCATCTCCCTTCTGTCTATGGCTTTGTCTATTCTGGACATTTCGTATAACTGGAATCAGTTAGTACACAGAACTGGTGCTTGGCTTCTTTCACTTGTAAAGCCTACCCTCTCTTCCACTACACTCTCTGGTGGGAAGCATATAGAATATAGTTATATACTATTTAAAGTTACAAAATTCTTACCGCAAGAATGTCTACTGTGATAGGCAAGTTGGAGAGCTTCTTCAAATATTTTAATAGCTGCAAAGAGAATAAAACAGTTCCAATAAAGCCATAATCACATTCACTGGTACAAATGAGAACATCGGATGGTGAAATTTTTACTTAGTGCTTTTCTTCTATGGTAATGAGTGTGGTCACTACCTTTATTCTACAAGTGCAAAGACAGACTCTGAAAAGCTGTTACTATCCCAAGACACAAGCGGGTCTAAGGCTTTAGAGCTTGTGCTTCCTTTTATTCTTTGTAAAAAATCTGTGTGCATGAGGATGCCAGAAGCAACCTCAGGTTTCATCAGGAATGCCACCCATCTCCTTTGGTATCAAGACTTTCATTGGCCTGGAGTTCACCAAATAGGCTAGGCTGGCTAGCCACTGAGCCCCAAGGATCCTTCTGTCTCTACCTCCCCAGTGCTTGGATTATAAGTATGACACCATGCCCAACATTTTTTTATAGGAGTTCTTGGGATTAAATTCAGGTCCTGATGCTTGAGGCAAGTACTTTACCAACTGAGTCATCTCACCTGCCCTCTTATGGTTTTTGGTATTTTATTTGCAATATTAAGACTGAACCAGCCAGGCATGGTGGTACATGCCTTTAATCCCAATACTCAGGAGGCAGAGACAGGCAGATTTCTGTGAGACTGAGGGCCAGCCTGGTCCAGTGAATTCCAGGCCAGCTGGGGCAGGAGAGCCTGTCTCAAAAAACAAACAAGCCAGGCATGGTGGCACAGGCCTTTAATCCCAGCACAAGGGAGGTAGAGGCAGGCAGATCTCTGTGAGTTCAAGGCAAGCCAGGTCTACATAGCGAGTTCCAGGACAGCTGGGGCTACAGGGAGACCCTGTCTCAAAAAGACCGAAAAAAATAAACAAACAAAAAACAACTGAACCTATTTGTTCACACATGCTGAGAAGTACTCAATCACTAAGCTATAATAACTCCAACCCTCTTCTTACGTTTAGAGGCAAGATCACACTAAGTTATCCAAGATGGCCTTGACTTGCAATTGTCCTGCCTTAACCCTTGAACAGCAGGGATTAGAGGCTTGGCTAGATTCTGTATTTTCAAATATTATTTTTATTTTATGTGTATGAGTATATTGCTCGCATGTATGTGAGTGCACCCATGTCATGCAATGCCCACAGAGGTCAGAAGAGGTCATTGGATTCCCCTGGAACTGGAGTTATAGATGTTTGTTAGCCACCATGTAGGTGCTGGGAATTGAACCTGGGTCCTTGCCAAGAGCAGCTAGCGCTCTTAACCACTAAGCCATCTCTCCAGCCCCAGATTCTGTTTTTAACTGCTCTCCTCCTCCAATAGAAAATAAGAGGCAGAGAAGAGAATCAAAACTCATTAACTGGCCTGGTATGGTGGCTCATTCCCATAATCCTAGCACTTAAGAAGCTGAGGCAGGAGGATCACCATGAGTCAAAGGGTGGTCTGGGCTTCAGAGGGAGACCTGCTCCTCCCTCCCTGAAAGAAAAAACAAAAACAAACAAAGCAAGCCATCAGCAATTGTTGTACAGAGGATTATGAGAAAGATACCAAGTTTAGGGAAATGAGTCCCAGGCTTGGCACAAAGGAAAGCAGAAGGAAGCCTCCACAGGAAGAGGGTAGCCATATGTCTCCTGAAGGCCTACAGTGCTCAGCAGAAGTGTTTTTCAATGCAAGTGGGAAGCCAGTATCAATTCTGAATTGCCAGAATCTGAGCTTTGCTGTTAATGATGACCACAAAATGCCTGGTAGATGAGAAAAATCTGGGTTTGCCCATTTCCTTTCTAAAGTCCCTAAAACTAGGTCAAAATTGGTAGAGCAGAGCTTAAAATGGTATTCTGGAGTCAGAGACAGGCAGTCCCCTTCCTGCCAGGTGATCTTGAACATGTCAGTAATCTCCCTGAACCTCAGTTACTTCATCTGCAAATCAAAACCATATCCTTCCTCCGATGGATCCCTCTCAAGAATCTGAGGATTCTTGAGATAAACTATATGTAGTACTTAATCATGGTATCTGCAACACTACAGAAGTTCAACGTCGGGGCTGGAGAGATGGCTCAGTGGTTGAGAGCGCTGGCTGCTCTTGCAGAGGAGCTGGGTTTGGTTCCCAGCACCCACATGGCAGCTGACAGCCATCCTTAACTCCAGTTCCAGGGGATCCAACGCCCTCTTCTGACCTCTGTGGGCACTACATAGTGCATACAGACCAGCCTATGTGTATAGCAACTTTTAAATGAACAACGTGGGCTGGAGAAATGGCTCAGTGGTTAAAAGCACTGGCTGCTCTTGCAGAGGACCAGGATTCAAATCCCAGCACCCACATGGTAGCCAAAAGCCATTTGTACATCAGTTCCAGCAGATCTGACTCTGTGGGCATTGCACGACATGGGTACACTTACATATATGCAGGCAATACACTCATACACATAAAATAAAAATAAATAAAAAACTGATTTTAAAAAAGTTCAGCATATTCATCCTTAATCATCTACTTCATCAGCTGACTGCTCTTTCAACTTTCTACCCTTGATTCTCAACCAGATGTTGCTTAGCTAATTCCTACTTTATTTCTAACAAATCAGGATTGGCTAAGCCTTTTGTTTTTGTTTATATAAGCACTTCCCACAGAGGGAGCATGGCAAAGCACAAGTATGCAAAACAGATAACTGATCTGCTTGTGGCCGTACCCTTGTAATCCCAAACTCAGGAGTTTGAGGATAGCCTGGGCTACATAGCAACTATCAGGCCAGCTACATAGTAAGTCACAAGGGGCTGGAGAGAGAGATCTCTCAGCAGTTAAAAAGTGCTTGCTGCTCTTCCAGAGGACCAGAGTTTGGTTCCCAGAACCCATGTTGGGCAGCTCACAACTGCCCATAACTCCAGCTCCAGGAGATTCAATGCCCCCTTCTGGCCTCCGTGGGCACCCAAATGCACAACTGCATACTAACATGCAGACACACACACACACACAAAAATACAAATTTAGCCAGGCATGGTGGCGCATGCCTTTAGTTCCAGCACTTGGGGGGCAGAGGCAGGCAGATCTTTGTGAGCTCAAGGCCAGCCTGGTCTACATAGTGAGTTCCAGGACAGCTGGGGCTACAAGGAGACCCTGTTCAAAAAGCCAAAAAAACAAAAAAAAATTTTTTAAATAAAAATTTAAATTAAAAAAAGCCAAAACAAAATAAATAACTGTGGTTGCCTTTACATTTAAATATTAGATAAGAAGACTTGTTCTTTCTCCATTGTAACCCAGTCTATAATTGGTATGCCATATTATTAATAGGCGGAGCAACACCTATGTTTTTCTGGTCATTCAACTTCCATAATTACTCAACATGGTCGCTAGGCAGAGCTTGGATCACAGGTGATAATCCTGTTTGACTGGGAATAAGAGGCCAAGCGGTGTATCCGGGGAAAGCAAAACTCCAAAATGAAGTGAAAACTGTACTCAAATTCCATCTCCACTACGATCCAGCTCGGGAAAGACTGTATGTGTATGTCTTGAACCTGGGCTGGAATTACAAAGTTCAATGCCAGTTACCTTTTCTGAAAGAGAAATGTGAAATTAATGGAAACATTTAAAATGGTGGCTCTCCCCTGATGTTCTGAACCCCAACAACAGGGATGTGTCTCTACCATCTCCTATGTACCAGTGCTGTGCTGTTTGTCTCATTTTACAAAAATATTCTGTTCATTTTTATTTTACGTGTATGAATGTTTTTTCTGTGTATTAAGTGCATCATGTGCAGTGCCTGTGGAGGCCAGAAGAGAGCATCAGATCCCCTGGAACTGGAGTTATAGGCAGCTATGAGCCACCATGTCAGGGCTGGGAATCAAAAAAGGGTCCTCTACAAGAGCAGCAAGCACTCTTAACTGCTAAATCATCTTTCCAGTTCCAAGTTTGTCTCATTTGACCCTAACTATATGGTGGATATTACTTTCCCATTTTACAGATATTGAAACAGCCCAGTGAGGTTTCATAGCTTTATCTAACAAGATGAGAAACACTTAACATAATTACCACTGTCTCTATAAAAGAAGAATATACACATGGCTCATGAGCTGCTGGCACCTAGCATGCATAGACAAGCAGCAGCTCCTCACCACCATGCTTTTGGACACTCAGAGTCCACATGGCAAAGGAGGTCATCAAGGACACAGAGTTCCAGGACCTGTGCACAGCCAACACAGAAAGATGGGGACAGAAGTCATAGTGTGTGTTCATCTCAAAGCTCAACACTAACTGGAAAAGTGGGTGCTGTTTTCCTTTGGGTTAGCAGACAAAACTAAAACCCTTGAGATTTTCAAGCTAATTTAGCCCACTATAGTGAGCTAGAGAAAAAGAAAGGCTGGTCATGGTGGTGCACATCTTTAATTCCAGTATTCAGGAGGCAGAGGCAGGTGGATCTCTGTAAGATCGAGGCCAGCCTGGTCTACATAGTGAGTTCCAGCACAAGTGAGGCTACAGGGAGACCCTGTCTCAAAAAGACCAGAGGCTACCCTCATGGTTTTTGGTTTTTAGTAAATTCCAAGAAAGAATTAGCAATTACAAGGCAAAGGCAAAAGCAAAAGCACTCTGGGCATCCTCAAGTAAATGGAAACTTGTGTTATCAACCTCAAGTAGTATCCATGGTGCTTGTAAGAACTGGTAATAAATAATTGAGAAATCTCAAAAATTTTGCACAGTAACATGCCCAGGAATCTCCAGGTCTCTGCACAGTTTCCACCCCTGAAGTCAAACATGTTCTCAGTGGTGACCTCCTCGTTCTCTATCTGCTATCAGGTAACTTTTAGCAGCCATGAAGATCATTTCTAATCCAATAGTAGGAACAAAAGCTAAGCTGTCTGCTGACACCTTCTCCACCAAGTAAGTCTAGGCCATAGATGAACTGAGTAAATAGAGTTAGGTTATACTTAAACACCGAAACATAACACTGGGAGACCCAGAAACACAGATATGGAATCAGCTTTTAGTTAATAATGGTCTGAAAGCAAGATTTGGTTGCAAATTCAATTCTGCTCTATAATCATCTTGCAATTTCAAGAACCACCTGTGGGAGCTTGCTGGGTTAAAAGGTTGGGAAGAAGAAGGGCGGTGTGCTAGCTTGCAATTTTCCCTCTGCAGTTAGCTCATTTCTGAATGTCAACTACTAAGTCCTTTGCAGAAAGGATCTCCCAACATCTTCACATTGCTCACATCACAGCAAAAAGCCAGAAATTCAGGGTGGTTTTCACATTCATTCATTTCCCACTCCCCTGTGGGTACAGAACCCAGGAGCTCCTATAGCTGCCACTGAGCTACGGACCCTTAAAAAAAAAAAAATTACTAGTAGTTCAAGAAAGCCTACTTGTACTTTTTTCTCAACCTGACATTTCACACACAGCTACTAGAAAAGCTGTTTCATGCTGGGTGTGGTGGCTCACGCCTTTATTCCCAGCACTTGGGAGGCAGAGGCAGGGGGATCTCTGTGAGTTCAAGGCCAGCCTGGTCTACATAGTGAGTTCCAGGATAGCTGGGGCTACAGGGAGACCCTGTCTCAAAAAGACCCCCCCCAAAAAAAAGTTATTTCAAAACTTACAGTGGAAAAGAAAAGACTATAGGTATTAAACAGAACATTTTAAAAGTCCAATAGAAAAACTAGCCACAAGTCTCAGTGTTCAGGAAGACAAACTGGTACTCAGAAATAATGACCATTTATTGCCCACAAAGGGTTATTGTAAAAAGAAACTTGTAAATATGTCTGACCACTAGGTACAGAAGGCCAGATAGAAAGTATAACACAACACAACTAAAAGCATTTAAGTTTTCACTGATTTAGAACACAGCTTCCTGAAAAGGGGATCTCTCAGCTAGGTATGAGGAAGTTGAATTAAAAGTGACCTGATGGTGACAGGCTATGTGTAACCTTCAGAACGGGAGCAATCTCCCTGTGACAAGCTAGGAACAACATAGGGCCCTTCAGTAGAGATTCTGAAAGATGGCGATTAACAGACCATTTAGGTGTGGCTGGTACTTCAGAAAGATGCTGGACAGCTCAGCAAAGAACTCCCCCCAAGTCCAGAGCCTGGATGGAAACCGAGATTGTGCCTCACTTTATTATCCCAGCTGCCTCCCTGGATGACTTCCTCTTCCACGACACACCTTTTAGGAACCCTGGGCCCTGGCTAAAATGCTGACAGGCAGTGTCTCACTCTTCGGTGTTTTCATCCAGGGACTTCAATGAAAACGATTCTAACTCCCACCAGACCCTCTCCTAGACCACTGAAAAGCTGGATCACGGAAAGACTGGGGAGGATGTGTTTAAGATAACAGTTCTAAAAGAAACACCAAAGTAGTTAAGTTCAGTTAAACATGGTTGCTCATCACTTGCAGCTTCCACCTTTCAGTAAGTTAGAGTAGTGCGACACACCGCTCACACCCTCAAGCAGGACCCGAGTTCCCAGAGCAGAGCTGGTGACCCAGCAGAGCCGTTAACCGAGCAGGGCTGGTGACCAAGCAGGACCCGAGTTCCCGGAACAGAGCTGGTGATCCAGCAGAGCCGTTAACCGAGCAGGGCTGGTGACCGAGGAGGGCCCGAGTTCCCGGAGCAGAGCTGGTGAACCCAGTAGAGCCGTTAACCGAGCAGGACGCGAGCTCCCGGAGCAGAGCTGGTGACCGAGCAGGACCCGAGTTCCCGGAGCAGAGCTGGTGTCCCAGCAGAGCCGTTAACCGAGCAGGGCTGGTGACCTAGCAGGACCCGAGTTCCCAGAGCAGAGCCGATGGCCGAGCAGGAGACGCGGGGCTTTTGCAGTTTTGGCTTTGTAAACAGCCGGGGAAAAGCGGGAGGTACCCGCGCTGCCGTCCTTTGGGACAGCAGGACACCCCCCCCCCCATCACGGCGTGGGGCACAGTCGCCCGGCCGGGCAACAGCTGGCGGGGCCGCCCCGGAGCCGCGGTCGCCGGAACCCCGGCGAGAAGGCGAGGGGTCCGGCAACCGGCACTCGTCTCGGGTGCCGGGCGCGGAGACCGGACGGGCCCCACG